TTTGGTTGGTGTCAGTAAGCCCTTGAAGGGTACATGCCCCAGATGGAGGCATCAGTAAGTCCCTGGAGGGAACATGCCCAGATGGAGGCATCAGTAAGTCCTCTGGAGGGTACATGCCCCAGATGGAGGCATCAGTAAGTCCCCTGAAGGGAACATGCCCAGATGGAGGCATCAGTAAGTCCCCTGAAGGGAACATGCCCAGATGGAGGCATCAGTAAGTTGAGGGTACATGCCCAGATAGAGGCATCAGTAAGTCCCCTGGAGGGTACATGCCCAGATGGAGGCATCAGTAAGTTGAGGGTACATGCCCCAGATGGAGGCATCAGTAAGCCCCTGGAGGGAACATGCCCCAGATGGAAGCATCCATGTCTGAAACTCGCTGGGAGCTGGAAACCGAAGCTGTGAGCCCGTGTGGGTGGTTGTGTTGGTGCCTCATTGACCTTTTTCCAGGTTCTGAGCTGCCACTCCATTTGGTTACTCACAGATACCTGTCAGGGAGAGACAGTAGTGTGTGGTTGTATGTATGTATGTGTTACTTCAGATGGCCTCGCCCTGTAGCCCAGCTGCCCTTCATCTCACAGTGGTCCTTCTACCTTAGCCTCCCAAGTTCTGGGATCACAAACCTGAATCACCATGTCTGATGAGAATTGCTGTGCTTCATCACCATGCCTGCTTGCTGGCTTGCCTGCCTCAGACTCCCTGCCGTGATAGTCATGGACTCACCTTCTGTGGCCGCAAACCCCAAATAAAGTTTTTCTTCTATAAGTGGCCTTGGTCATAGCGTCTCTTCACAGTAATAGAAAAGTAAGCTTGCATTCCCTTCAGTGACAGGGTATGGGTGGGAATGGGGGTGTGGGTGGGAATGTGTTCTGCTCTGAAGGGTCAAGGAAGAAAAGGAAAACCCTATATGTCTTATTTAAGATGTGTTTGCCCTGCAGGACACCTGCTCCATTAGTCATCCAGAAGCCAGGGGAATATAGACAACACTAGAGAAGATGTGTGGCCGGGCGGTGGTGGCGCACACCTTTAATGCCAACACTCAGAAGCCAGAGGCAGGCAGATCTCTGTGAGTCTGAGGCCAGTCTGGTCTACAGAGTGAGTTCCAGGTTGGCCAGGGCTGTCACACAGAGAAACCTTGCCTTGAAAAATCAGAGACGGAGGGAGGAAGGGAGGGAGGGAGGGAGGGAGAAAGAAAGAGAAGAGAGAGAGAGAGAGAGAGAGAGAGAGAGAGAGAGAGAAAGGTGTGTGCGTGCGTGCGTGTGTGTGTGTGTGTGTGTGTGTGTGTGTGTGTGTGTAGCCTAGCATATTCAAACCCCAACCCCCTGGGTGTGATTCCCGGCACTGCAGAAAATGTTTATTATCTGTAAATACCTAGGTAGGGCTGGTGAAGTGGCTCAGTAGGTAAAGTGTTGGATATCCAGCAGGTATATAAGGGCACCTGAGGGCGGGGAGAAGAAAGAGGATCCTGGGAGTTCACTGACCAGCCTATTTAGCTAGTCCATGAACTCCAGGTACAGTGAAAGGCCCTATCTGAAAAACATAAGGTGGAGAGCAATAGCAATAGAGGAAGACACCCAGTGTTGACCTTTGCCCTCTGTGTTTCTGTTCATGGGCACGTGTACCATTATACATGTGTATATTAAACACATGCCATGTTACTAGGTAGTAAAAAATAATTTTGGGGGTACAAGGTTCAGGCTGTCCTTAAACTCAAGCCCTCTGCCTCCAGGCTCTCAGAGTACAGCTGTAGGCTATGGTGTACTGCAATAACTAATATTCCTTTGGTATTTTTTGTGACAGGCTCTCATCGTATAGCCCTGGCTGCCCTGGGACTGGCTGTGTCCACCAGGCTGGTCTCACCTGCCTCTGCCTCTGGAGTGCTAGGATTAAGGGCATGTGCCATCATATCTGGCCCTCCTTTTTTTCCTAAGGCAGAGGCCTCTATGTAATTGAGGTTGGCCCTAAACTCATACTGTGTAGATCAGGCTGACCTCAGACAGGGTTTCTGCCTTTCAAGGGCTGGGATTACAGGTATGTGCCACCATATCCACTTTGTAGTAAAAGTTTTCAACCAGACCTTCCCCCCCCTCAAAGTAACCAAACTAAAATTCCCTATGGTTCTAATGGTGGAACATTCAGGAAGGCCCTGAGGGGTTCAGATAATTGCATCCTCACATCCTAGGAGATGTAGAAGAGAGGGGAGCTGGGAAGGGATAGGGTGGGAGGGGATTTGAGACAGGGTATGAGTGAGGTGGGAGGAGATTCAGGATGGGGTAGGGTTGTGGTGGGAGGGGGGCTGAGGTGGGGTAGGGGTGTGGTGAAAGGGGGGCTGAGATGGGGTAGGGGTGTGGTGGAAGGGGGACTGAGATGGGGTAGGGGTGTGGTGGAAGGGGGACTGAGATGGGGTAGGGGTGCGGTGGAAGGGGGGCTGAGATGGGGTAGGGGTGTGGTGGAAGGGGGGCTGAGATGGGGTAGGGTTGTGGTGGGAGGGGGGCTGAGGTGGGGTAGGGTTGTGGTGGAAGGGGGGCTGAGATGGGATAGGGGTGTGGTGGAAGGGGGGCTGAGATGGGGTAGGGTTGTGGTGGAAGGGGGGCTGAGATGGGGTAGGGGTGAAGCCTGGGAGCTTGGAAAGTGAAGTCTGTCCTGGAGGTCAAAGTGTAGCACTTGCATTATGACCCCTTTGAGGCCTGCTTCCTCCTCTCTGACTCAGGAACACTGTCCAAGGCTGAGATGGTTTCAGGATGGGGCAATAAACGCTAGTTCTCTCCCCACCCTTCCCCTCTGTGACTCTGCTCCATAAGTGAGAGAGGTTACGGGAAATGATGAGAAGGTCAAACACTTATTGTGATCAATATGCCATAGTAGATGACGCCACCCAGGATGGCCCCATGACCTTTACCTCCTGCTTTTTACACTCTACAAATGGTGTCTTCCAGCACTTGAAAGGGAGAGGCATAGTGGACAGGTGCGAGCCTTCTAGACAGGGAGAGAAAAGACACAATGGCATTGGGGGGAAGTCAGTCAGGTGGACAAAAGCTTCTGCTACATAGTGAGTTCGATCCATCCCAGGCTACCTGAGACGCTGTCCCAAGAATAAAACAGCCAGGTGTGGTGTGGCATGCCGTCATTCTCAACACTCTGGGGAAAAACCACTGATGTCGAGGCGAGTGTAGAACTCTGTGAGTTCGAGGCCAGTCTGATCTACATAGCAAGATCCTGACCGGACAGAGCTACATAGCGAGACTCTTCCTCAAAAAAACAAATGAAATACAAATTGTATCAGGGAATGGAACCAGTTGATGATCTGCTTACGTAACATGTACAAGGCCCTGGCTTTGATCTCTAGTACTGGATAAGCCAGAAATCCTGGAGATGATTATAGTCCCAGCTCTCTGGAGGTGGACCTGGGAAGAGCAGATCAGGACTTGAAGGTCATGGGGAGTTTGAGGCCAGCCTGGGGTATAAAGACAGGATCCTATGTAGCTCATGCTAGTCTCTCTGACCCTTGATCTTCCCCAGTGCCGGGATGATAGATGTGATCACACACCTTGCTTTGATACGGAGCACACCATCCTCCCAGCTCAGCTTCTCAGGCACAGGGATGAGTTTGCAAAACCACACCCTTTGTGGTGAGATTCTTCCAGACAACCATTTCGCTAATTCTTCGTGGCTTGTTTACAAGTGGCTGTGACCATTCTTCATAGAGGAGAAATCTGAGTCACCATGGATTGAAGTCACACTAAGGTCACAGAAAGGCCCTTGGAGGGAAATATGCAAATGTAAATAGTCTGCCAGGATGGATTGCAGCTCAGGGTTTCCTGGTGTGGACTGCTTCTGAGTCAAAGCTGTGGGCGAGGGGGGGGGCACCGGAGTGAGCCTGCTGGAGGGCAGGGGGGAGGATGCGCTGTGGTGGACACACTATATAGAAAGGCCAGGGCATGAGGGACATGCAGGGCTCACCTGAGAGAGCTGCAAAGGTCTGTGGGAGGCAGGAAGAGGAAACAGAATCCAGAGACTGTGTCAGGCATAAGCTCTTCAATGGGACATGAGAGACAGCTTCCAGGCTAGTCGTTCATTGGTGTGTGTGTGTGTGTGTGTATGCGTGTACATGCATATGCGTTGATGTGTATAAATGTGTGTGAAATATGTTTGTGCACATATGGGTAAGTATATATGCATATATATGCACATGTATATGCATGCATGTGTGGATGGATGTGTGTGCCTATGTCTGTGCGTATATGTGTGTAAATGTATGTGTTTATGTGTATATATGTGTGTGGAATATGTGTGTACATATGGGTTATGTATACATGCATATCTATGCATATGTATATATATGCATGCGTGGATGGATGTGTGTGCCCATGTCTATGTGCATATATGTGTGTAAATGTATGTGTTTATGTGTATATATGTATGTGGAATATGTGTATGTATATATGGGTATGTACTCATGCTTATGTATATATGTGAGTACCTATTTATATGTATTTGTGGCTTTATGTGTGTAAATGTATATGTGTTTGTGTGTGTGTAGTCCTGACTTGCTTGTAATTTACAATAACCCTGCTCCAGCTTCCCCTCTCAAACTGGGATTACAGGTGTGAGTCACCACACCGGGCTTCGGGATGGCTGTGATGTGCTCCATCCACCAAGAGAGAGAGGACAGTCAGATGGACATTTGTGCCTTTGAAATCTGCATGGCGCATTCACACACAGTGGGAGCCGACCTCTGTTTGCCTAGGGGCTCTGAAGGCAGCTGAGTGGAGAAAAAGCTTTTGTGGCACAAAATCGGGGGAGCTGAGCCCTGAGCATTCAGAAAGGGCCAAAGAGAAGATGCCCAGGATGTCTGTTGGTGTAGGGGATTGGGAAGGAAAGGAAGGAGGGTGAGGGACAGGGCAGGGCCCAGCTGGGCTCTCAAGCTTAAAGCTTCTACTTCCTCCTCCACCCATTCCAGTGTTAGCCTCTGGCCTCACCAATGGGCTGGCAAAAGAAAAAGTCTTAGGTTTAAAGTCCAACAGGTAGAGGTTCCAGACCTAGGATTCCTGTGTTCCCTGCGCAGTATCGGGACACATGGCCAGAGCTGGTGGGAACCTGAGGGTCTGGGGGAGCTTGGTGCTACTGGTAAGTTCTTTCATGCTCAGGACTGAGCTTGGGGCCAAGGGAGGGAGGGAGGCTTAGGAAGGGGCTAGAATCTACATTCCCAGAGATGTGGAGGAAGGGCCCTCAGCCAGAGCCTTGAAGAAGCAGGGAATGGTCTTTAACCGGAGAAGAAAGAAAGCTCTGAGATCGGAGGAATATAGACAAATCTGGCCATACTGGATGTTTTAGGGTCTGGTATGACAGTGAACATGGGATCAGGCTGTTCGCACACACAGCCCAGCCCTCCTCCTCAGATTCAGAAGCCCGGAGCCTACCCGCCCTCCTCCACACCCAGAGATCCACAGTGACCAAGCTCTGACCTAGCTCCCTCTGCCTACAGTCTGTCTCCAGAGTTCAAATTTGTTTTCCTCTAGTTGTCCCTCTTGGTCCCTGGGCGCCCTCCCCCAGGGCCTCTGCTTATATTTTTCAGAAAGTGAAAGTACTCACAGTGTCTCTTGCCATTATTCGGGAAGCAACCTTGGTTCCTGCTTCCCTGAAGCTCCACCTCTGCCTTGGGTAACCAGCTTCCTAATCAACAGCACCAGTGTTGGGGTGCCCTTATCACACCCTGTCCCCACATTCCTCTCCTTGGTCAAGGTGGAAGGAAAGGTTGGGGGCAGAGATCAGGACAGTCTTGAGCAGGCTGTCAGCCCCACCTCCCCAGTCTCACCAAGCTCAGCTAACTTCTTCCTACCTGGATCCCCCTAGGGCCTGTACAGCTGCGCTGTGTCCCGGGCGGCAGGTGAGTACATTCCTACCTTTAACCTTTGTCCTTGCCAGGAGAGAGATCCTTTGACTCTGATGGACCCTGGTGGGCTGAGGACAAGGGTAGTTTCTCAATTTTGGGAGGAGGGAGGTACAGGGTGGTAGGAGGGGGAAAATGGTTGATCTATGCCTTTCTAATCTGAAAGCCACACATGAATTTTCAGCTCTAAACGGAGTGAGTAACCTGAAGGCAGAGGTCCAGACAAACAGCGCCATCACCCTGAGGTGGGACGCCCCAAACTATCCCGGCCATGAAAACCTGATCTACTGGGTTCAGTGCCTTGGAGATAACATATATAAAATTGAAAACACCACAAGAACCACATTAACAGTAGATGGACTTGATCCGGCTTCCTCATACGAATTTCTTGTGTGGGTAGAAATTAATGGAACCAATAGCACCATGGAGCCGATCAAAACCTCCACAGGTGAGAGGCAGACTCTCTTGTATTCTTTCTTCCTTTTGAAGGGATAAGTTTAGGGGTGACCGGAGAGCCTGGTGGTGGAGGTGCATACCTTCAATCCCAGCACTTGGGCTCAGAGCCAGGCAGATCTCTTTGACTCTGAGGTCGGGCTGTTCTACAGAGTGAGTTTCTGAACAGTCAGAGCAACACAGAGTAACCATGCTGAGAGGGAGAAAGGGAGAGAGAGACAGAGAGAGAGAGAGAGAGAGAGAGAGAGAGAGAGAGAACAGAAGGTGGCAGATTCCACAATGCAACAGACCTAGGCTGAGATACAAAGATGGGAATAGCAGGGAGTGGCCACATCTCAAGAGGTCACCCATCACACAAAACTTGTGCCTCCCTATTGGACTTCCAACTGTTCTCAGCCATCTCAACCCATCACGGGGTCCATGAACCCACATTAATGGGAGGACCAGGACCAGGTGATTTTCCCATTGGTCTCTACTTAGAGCCCCAACTCAGAGCAATTTAAGGACAAGCAATGTGAGGAACAACTGCATTGCCTTTTGTTTTTATTTTGTGACCTGGTGTGGGTAGGGAGTGACCCACTGAGGTGGCTGTGTCACTGAAGACAGTGGCTTCCTCTCAATCAGCAATCCTGGAGTGCTAAGGTCTCAAGAGGGTCTTCTCTCTTTATGGCTGAGTACTTAGGGCTTTAATCTTGTGTAGGCTTCATACCTACAAGCACAGCTGCTGAGGTCATTTGTACTACAGCCGTGTCATCGCCAAGACAACATTGCACATGTCCTCTTTATCTTCCTGTTCTTACATTCTGTTCACCCTTTTCCATGATGATCTCTGAGCCTTGGATGGGCTGACAGACATGTCTTCAACATCGCGGCCATCCCAAGTCTCCGTCTTAACCACCATCCCTACAGACAGCAGTTCTATGACCAAGGCTGAGGAGCCATGAAGGTCGCTGGTACTAGTCCATGCACTGGCCCCCACTTGTCGCTGGAGCTCTGTGGACGTCTGCTCGTGCATATCCTGGCTCATTCTTATTTTGTTTATTTATTTATATTTTGTCTGTCTATTTCTTTATATAACTTCTATCTTCTTTTTTTGATTTTGATTTTTGAGATAGAGTTTCTCTGGATAGCCTAGACTGTCTCGTAACTCATTGTGTAGACCTGACTGGACTCAAACTGACTGCCTCCGACATGCTGGGATTAAAGGCACATGCCACCACAGCCAGCCAATTTAGTATTCTGTGTGAATGTTGTGTGAGATTTGTGTGTGTGTGTATAGCCAGAGCTTATTGTCTGTTGTCTCCCTGTGTGGCTCAGTATCTTATTGATTCATTTTACTTTATCTTAGTTTATTCATTGCTATCGTATGTCTGTGTTTGTGTGTGCACACTCAAGTCTGGATATGACTCCATATCCCCAGCCTGGAATTCACTATGAAGACCAGACTGTCTTTGAACTCATGAAGTCCTCCTGCCTCAGCCTCCCAAGGGATGAGATTGTATTGTAGGCACAAGTCACAAAGGTTTAACAGATTGAGGATATGAGGAAAATGATTCTCCCTTCTACCCTTGTTTTCAGCTCCAAACCCAGTGACAAACCTGAGTGTGGAAACTCAGACAGACAGCTCCATCACCCTCATATGGGATAAACCAGAAGGTCATGACACAGTTAACCTGACCTACTGGATCCAGTGGCTTGGAAAAAATGACAGCAATGGACTTACAAACACAACAAACACCAGTGTCATGGTGGATAACCTTGCTCCTGCTTCTACATATGAATTTTTCGTGTGGGTAGAAAAAGATGAAATCAATAGCACCATGGAGACCCTCAACGCCTCCACAGGTGAGAGGCAGACTCTCTTGTATCTGTTCTTCCTTTTGAAGGGATGTGTTTATGGGGTGACCAGAGAGCCTAGTGGTGTTCGTGCACACTTTTAATCCTCACAATTGGGTGTCAGAGCCAGGCAGATCTCTTCGACTCCGAGGTCGGCCTGATCAACAGAGTGAGTTTCTGAACAGTCAGAGCAATACAGAGTAACCGTGTCGAGAGAGAGAGAGAGAGAGAGAGAGAGAGAGAGAGAGAGAGAGAGGAGGGACAGAAGGTGGCAGATTCCACAATCCAACAGACCTAGGCTGAGATACAAAGATGGGAATAGCAGGGAGTGGCCACATCTCAAGAGGTCACCCATCACACAAAACTTGCGCCTCCCTATTGGACTTCCTACTGTTCTCAGCCATCTCAACCCATCACGGGGTCCATGACCCAAATAAATGGGAGGACCAGGACCAGGTGATTTTCCCATTGGTCTCTACTTAGAGTCCCAACTCAGAGCAATTTAAAGACAGGCAATGTGAGGAACAACTGCATTGCCTTTTGTTTTTATTTTGTGACCTGGTGTGGGTATGGAGTTACCCACTGAGGTGGCTGTGTCACCGAAGACAGTGGCTTCCTCTCAGTCAGCAATCCTGGAGTGCTAAGGTCTCAAGAGGGTCTTCTCTCTTTATGGCTGAGTACTTAGGGCTTTAATCTTGTGTAGGCTTCATACCTACAAGCACAGCTGCTGAGGTCATTTGTACTACAGCCTTGTCATCCCCAAGACAACATTGCACATGTCCTCTTTATCTTCCTGTTCTTACATTCTGTTCACCCTTTTCCATGATGATCTCTGAGCCTTGGATGGGCTGACAGACATGACTTCAACATCGCGGCCATCCCAAGTCTCCGTCTTAACCACCATCCCTACAGACAGCAGTTCTATGACCAAGGCTGAAGAGCCATGAAGGTCGCTGGTACTAGTCCATGCACTGGCCCCCACTTGTCGCTGGAGCTCTGTGGACGTCTGCTCGTGCATATCCTGGCTCATTCTTATTTTGTTTATTTATTTATATTTTGTCTGTCTATTTCTTTATATAACTTCTATCTTCTTTTTTGATTTTGATTTTTTTTCCCTTGGTTTTTCGAGACAGGGTTTCTCTGTGGTTTTGGAGCCTGTCCTGGAACTAGCTCTTGTAGACCAGGCTGGTCTCGAACTCACAAAGATCTGCCTGCCTCTGCCTCCCAAGTGCTGGGATTAAAGGCGTGCACCACCACCGCCCGGCTTTGATTTTGATTTTTGAGATAGAGTTTCTCTGGATAGCCTAGACTGTCTCGTAACTCATTGTGTAGTCCTGACTGGACTCAAACTGACTGCCTCCGACATGCTGGAATTAAAGGCACATGCCACCACACCCAGCCAATTTAGTATTCTGTGTGAATGTTGTGTGAGATTTGTGTGTGTGTAGCCAGAGCTTATTGCCTGCTGTCTCCCTGTATGGCTCAGTATCTTATTTATTCATTTTACTTTATCTTAGTTTATTCATTGCTATCGTATGTCTGTGTTTGTGTGTGCACACTCAAGTGTGGATATGACTACATATTCCCAGCCTGAAATTCACTATGAAGACCAGACTGTCTTTGAACTCATGAAGTCCTCCTGCCTCAGCCTCCCAAGGGATGAGATTGTATTGTAGGCACAAGTCACAAAGGTTTAACAGATTGAGGATATGAGGAAAATGATTCTCCCTTCTACCCTTGTTTTCAGCTCCAAACCCAGTGACAAACCTGAGTGTGGAAACTCAGACAGACAGCTCCATCACCCTGATATGGGATGAACCAGAAGGTCATGACACAGTTAACCTGACCTACTGGATCCAGTGGCTTGGAAAAAATGACAGCAATGGACTTACAAACACAACAAACACCAGTGTCATGGTGGATAACCTTGCTCCTGCTTCTACATATGAATTTTTTGTGTGGGTAGAAAAAGATGAAATCAATAGCACCATGGAGACCCTCAACGCCTCCACAGGTGAGAGGCAGACTCTCTTGTACCTGTTCTTTATTTTGAAGGGATGTGTTTATGGGGTGACCAGAGAGCCTGGTGGTGTTCGTGCATACTTTTAATCCTCACAATTGGGTGTCAGAGCCAGGCAGATCTCTTCGACTCCGAGGTCGGCCTGCTCAACAGAGTAAGTTTCTGAACAGTCAGAGCAATACAGAGTAACCGTGTCGAGATAGAGATAGAGATAGAGATAGAGATAGAGATAGAGATAGAGATAGAGAGAGAGAGAGAGAGAGGAGGGACAGAAGGTGGCAGATTCCACAATCCAACAGACCTAGGCTGAGATACAAAGATGGGAATAGCAGGGAGTGGCCACATCTCAAGAGGTCACCCATCACACAATACTTGCACCTCCCTACTGGACTTCCTATTGTTCTCAGCCATCTCAACCCATCACGGGGTCCATGACCTACATAAATGGGAGGACCAGGGCCAGGTGATTTTCCCATTGGTCTCTACTTAGAGCCCCAACTCAGAGCAATTTAAAGACAGGCAATGTGAGGAACAACTGCATTGCCTTTTGTTTTTATTTTGTGACCTGGTGTGGGTATGGAGTTACCCACTGAGGTGGCTGTGTCACCGAAGACAGTGGCTTCCTCTCAATCAGCAATCCTGGAGTGCTAAGGTCTCAAGAGGGCCTTCTCTCTTTATGGCTGAGTACTTAGGGCTTTAATCTTGTGTAGGCCTCATACCTACAAGCACAGGTGCTGGGGTCTTTTGTACTACAGCCTTGTCATCCCAAAGACAGCATTGCACATGTCCTCTTTATCTTCCTGTTCTTACATTCTGTTCACCCTTTTCCATGATGATCTCTGAGCCTTGGATGGGCTGACAGACATGTCTTCAACATCGCGGCCATCCCAAGTCTCCGTCTTAACCACCATCCCTACAGACAGCAGTTCTATGACCAAGGCTGAGAAGCCATGAAGGTCGCTGGTACTAGTCCATGCACTGGCCCCGAATTGTCGCTGAAGCTCTGAGGGCATCTGCTCGTGCATATCCTGGCTCATTGTTATTTTGTTTTATTTATTTATATTGTCTGTCTATTTCTTTATATAACTTCTATCTTCTTTTTTTGATTTTGATTTTTGAGATAGAGTTTCTCTGGATAGCCTAGACTGTCTCGTAACTCATTGTGTAGACCTGACTGGACTCAAACTGACTGCCTCCGACATGCTGGGATTAAAGGCACATGCCACCACAGCCAGCCAATTTAGTACTCTGTGTGAATGTTGTGTGAGATTTGTGTGTGTGTGTAGCCAGAGCTTATTGTCTGTTGTCTCCCTGTGTGGCTCAGTATCTTATTGATTCATTTTACTTTATCTTAGTTTATTCATTGCTATCGTATGTCTGTGTTTGTGTGTGCACACTCAAGTGTGGATATGACTCCATATCCCCAGCCTGGAATTCACTATGAAGACCAGACTGTCTTTGAACTCATGAAGTCCTCCTGCCTCAGCCTCCCAAGGGATGAGATTGTATTGTAGGCACAAGTCACAAAGGTTTAACAGATTGAGGATATGAGGAAAATGATTCTCCCTTCTACCCTTGTTTTCAGCTCCAAACCCAGTGACAAACCTGAGTGTGGAAACTCAGACAGACAGCTCCATCACCCTGATATGGGATGAACCAGAAGGTCATGACACAGTTAACCTGACCTACTGGATCCAGTGGCTTGGAAAAAATGACAGCAATGGACTTACAAACACAACAAACACCAGTGTCATGGTGGATAACCTTGCTCCTGCTTCTACATATGAATTTTTCGTGTGGGTAGAAAAAGATGAAATCAATAGCACCATGGAGACCCTCAACGCCTCCACAGGTGAGAGGCAGACTCTCTTGTACCTGTTCTTTATTTTGAAGGGATGTGTTTATGGGGTGACCAGAGAGCCTGGTGGTGTTCGTGCATACTTTTAATCCTCACAATTGGGTGTCAGAGCCAGGCAGATCTCTTCGACTCCGAGGTCAGCCTGCTCAACAGAGTAAGTTTCTGAACAGTCAGAGCAATACAGAGTAACCGTGTCGAGATAGAGATAGAGATAGAGATAGAGATAGAGATAGAGAGAGAGAGAGAGAGAGAAAGAGAGAGAGAGAGAGAGGAGGGACAGAAGGTGGCAGATTCCACAATCCAACAGACCTAGGCTGAGATACAAAGATGGGAATAGCAGGGAGTGGCCACATCTCAAGAGGTCACCCATCACACAATACTTGCACCTCCCTACTGGACTTCCTATTGTTCTCAGCCATCTCAACCCATCACGGGGTCCATGACCTACATAAATGGGAGGACCAGGACCAGGTGATTTTCCCATTGGTCTCTACTTAGAGCCCCAACTCAGAGCAATTTAAAGACAGGCAATGTGAGGAACAACTGCATTGCCTTTTGTTTTTATTTTGTGACCTGGTGTGGGTATGGAGTTACCCACTGAGGTGGCTGTGTCACCGAAGACAGTGGCTTCCTCTCAATCAGCAATCCTGGAGTGCTAAGGTCTCAAGAGGGCCTTCTCTCTTTATGGCTGAGTACTTAGGGCTTTAATCTTGTGTAGGCCTCATACCTACAAGCACAGGTGCTGGGGTCTTTTGTACTACAGCCTTGTCATCCCAAAGACAGCATTGCACATGTCCTCTTTATCTTCCTATTCTTACATTCTGTTCACCCTTTTCCATGATGATCTCTGAGCCTTGGATGGGCTGACAGACATGTCTTCAACTTCGCGGCCATCCCAAGTCTCCGTCTTAACCACCATCCCTACAGACAGCAGTTCTATGACCAAGGCTGAGAAGCCATGAAGGTCGCTGGTACTAGTCCATGCACTGGCCCCGAATTGTCGCTGAAGCTCTGAGGGCATCTGCTCGTGCATATCCTGGCTCATTGTTATTTTGTTTTATTTATTTATATTGTCTGTCTATTTCTTTATATAACTTCTATCTTCTTTTTTGATTTTGATTTTTTTCCCTTGGTTTTTCGAGACAGGGTTTCTCTGTGGTTTTGGAGCCTGTCCTGGAACTAGCTCTTGTATACCAGGCTGGTCTCGAACTCACAAAGATCTGCCTGCCTCTGCCTCCCAAGTGCTGGGATTAAAGGCGTGCGCCACCACCGCCCGGCTTCGATTTTGATTTTTGAGATAGAGTTTCTCTGGATAGCCTAGACTGTCTCGTAACTCATTGTGTAGTCCTGACTGGACTCAAACTGACTGCCTCCGACATGCTGGAATTAAAGGCACATGCCACCACACCCAGCCAATTTAGTATTCTGTATGAATGTTGTGTGAGATTTGTGTGTGTGTAGCCAGAGCTTATTGCCTGCTGTCTCCCTGTATGGCTCAGTATCTTATTTATTTATTTTACTTTATCTTAGTTTATTCATTGCTATCGTATGTCTGTGTTTGTGTGTGCACACTCAAGTGTGGATATGACTACATATTCCCAGCCTGAAATTCACTATGAAGACCAGACTGTCTTTGAACTCATGAAGTCCTCCTGCCTCAGCCTCCCAAGGGATGAGACTGTATTGTAGGCACAAGTCACACAGGTTTCACAGGTTGAGGATATGAGGAAAATGATTCTCCCTTCTACCCTTGTTTTCAGCTCCAAACCCAGTGACAAACCTGAGTGTGGAAACTCAGACAGACAGCTCCATCACCCTGATATGGGATGAACCAGAAGGTCATGACACAGTTAACCTGACCTACTGGATCCAGTGGCTTGGAAAAAATGACAGCAATGGACTTACAAACACAACAAACACCAGTGTCATGGTGGATAACCTTGCTCCTGCTTCTACATATGAATTTTTCGTGTGGGTAGAAAAAGATGAAATCAATAGCACCATGGAGACCCTCAACGCCTCCACAGGTGAGAGGCAGACTCTCTTGTATCTGTTCTTCCTTTTGAAGGGATGTGTTTATGGGGTGACCAGAGAGCCTGGTGGTGTTCGTGCACACTTTTAATCCTCACAATTGGGTGTCAGAGCCAGGCAGATCTATTCGACTCCGAGGTCGGCCTGCTCAACAGAGTGAGTTTCTGAACAGTCAGAGCAATACAGAGTAACCGTGTCGAGAGAGAGAGAGAGAGAGAGAGAGAGAGAGAGAGAGAAAGAGATAGAAGGATAGAGAGAGAGAGAGAGAGAGAGAGAGAGAGAGAGAGAGAGAGGAGGGACAGAAGGTGGCAGATTCCACAATCCAACAGACCTAGGCTGAGATACAAAGATGGGAATAGCAGGGAGTGGCCACATCTCAAGAGGTCACCCATCACACAAAATTTGCGCCTCCCTATTGGACTTCCTACTGTTCTCAGCCATCTCAACCCATCACGGGGTCCATGACCTACATAAATGGGAGGACCAGGTGCTTTTCCCATTGGTCTCTACTTAGAGCCCCAACTCAGAGCAATTTAAAGACAGGCAATGTGAGGAACAACTGCATTGCCTTTTGTTTTTATTTTGTGACCTGGTGTGGGTATGGAGTTACCCACTGAGGTGGCTGTGTCACCGAAGACAGTGGCTTCCTCTCAATCAGCAATCCTGGAGTGCTAAGGTCTCAAGAGGGCCTTCTCTCTTTATGGCTGAGTACTTAGGGCTTTAATCTTGTGTAGGCTTCATACCTACAAGCACAGCTGCTGAGGTCATTTGTACTACAGCCTTGTCATCCCCAAGACAACATTGCACATATCCTCTTTATCTTCCTGTTCTTACATTCTGTTCACCCTTTTCCATGATGATCTCTGAGCCTTGGATGGGCTGACAGACATGTCTTCAACATCGCGGCCATCCCAAGTCTCCGTCTTAACCACCATCCCTACAGACAGCAGTTCTATGACCAAGGCTGAAGAGCCATGAAGGTCGCTGGTACCAGTCCATGCACTAACCCCCATTTGTCCCTGGAGCTCTGTGGGTGTCTGCTCATGAATATCCTGGCTTATTTTTATTTTGTTTTATTTATTTATATATTATATCTATCTATTTCTTTATATAACTTCTGTCTTCTATTTTTGATTTTGATTTTTGAGATAGAGTTTCTCTGGATAGCCTAGACTGTCTCGTAACTCATTTTGTAGACCTGGATGGACTCAAACTGATTGCCTCCCACGTGCTGGGATTAAAGGCACATGCCACCACACCCAGCCAATTTAGTGCTCTGTGTGAATGTTGTGTGAGATTTGTGTGTGTGTGTGTAGCCAGAGCTTATTGTCAGCTGTCTTCCTCTGTGGCTCAGTATGTTTTTAATTTATTTTAATTTATCTTAGTTTATTCATTGCTATCGTATGTCTGTGTTTGTGTGTGCACACTCAAGTGTGGCTATGACTCCATATTCCCAGCCTGGAATTCACTATGAAGACCAGACTGTCTTTGAACTCATGAAGTCCTCCTGCCTCAGCCTCCCAAGGGATGAGATTGTACTGTAGGCACAACTCACACAGGTTTCACAGGTTGTGGATATGAGGAAAATGACTCTCCCTTCTGCCCTTGTTTTCAGCTCCAAACCCCGTAAGAAACCTGAGGGTAGAAACTCAGAACAACAGCTCCGTCACCCTGAGCTGGGACGAACCAGAAGGTCATGACACATCTAACCTTACCTACTGGATCCAGTGTTTTGGAGAGGACTACAGCAATGAACCTAAAAGCACAACAAACACCAGTTTTGTGGTGGATGGCCTTGCTCCTGCTTCTACATATGAATTTTTCATGTGGGTAGAAAAAAATGAAATCAATAGCACCACGGAGACCCTCAACGCCTCCACAGGTGAGAGGCAGACTCTCTTATATTCTTTCTTTATTTTGAAGGGACATGTTTAGGGGTGACCAGAGAGCCTGATAGTGGTGGTGCTCCCCTTTTTTCCTAGGACTTGATCTTTAGACCAGGCAGATCTCTGTGACTCTGATGTCGGCCTGCTCTGCAGAGTGAGTTTCTGGACAGCCTGAGCAACACAGAGTAATCGTGGAGAGAGAGAGAGAGAGAGAGAGAGAGAGAGAGAGAGAGAGAGAGAGGAAGAGAGGACAGAGGTGGCAGATTGCACATTCAAACAGAACTAGACTGAAAGACAAACAAGTGAATATCTGGTTTTTATCACCCACTTTAAACAGATAAAGTTCCACAAAGGTGATGTTGACCTTTATCGTCTGTGACCCAGTGGGTCCAAGAGGACCCTTTCTTTATATTATGAGCCTCAAGGGAGCACAACACCGGCATTCCTAATTTCATAGTAAACTGTTCCAGCTCCATGGCATGTGACTGGCCACGTCGCAGGAACTCACGCATCACAAAACTTGTACCTCCCTATTGGACTTCTTATTGTTCTCACCCATCCCACCCCACAATGGGGTCCATGACCTACATAAATGTGAGGATTAGAAATAGCTGTTCTTCCCATTGGTCCCTACTTAGAGCCCCAATCAGAACAATTTCGGGACAGTTGATCTGAGGAACAACTGCGTTGACCTTTGTTTTTATTTTCTGACCTGGTGTAGGTATGGAGTTACCCACTGAGGTGGTTGTGTCACTGAAGACAGTGGCTTCCTCTCAATCAGCAATCCTGGAGTGCTAAGGTCTCAAGAGGGCCTTCTCTCTTTATGGCTGAGTACTTAGGGCTTTAATCTTGTGTAGGCTTCATACCTACAAGCACAGCTGCTGGGGTTCATTTGTACTACAGCCTTGTCATCCCACAGAGAGCATTGCACATGTCCTCTTTATCTTCCTGATCTTACATTCTGTTCACCCTTTTCCATGATGATCTCTGTGCCTTGGAGGGTTTGACAGACATATCTTCAACACCCCAGCCATCCCTGAGTCTCTGTGTTAACCACCATCCCTACAGACAGCAGCTTCTATGACCAAGGCTGAGGAGCCATGATGGTTCCTGGTACAAGTCCATGCACTGGCCCCCACTTGGTTCCTGGAGCTCTGTGGGCTTCTGCATGTGCACAACCTGACTCATTCTTATTTTGGTTGATTGATTTATATTTTTATGTGTCTATCTATTTCCCTATCTATCGATCTATCAATTTATCTCTTTATCTTTTACTTTTTAAGACAGCGTTTCTTTGAGTAGCCCAAACTATGTTGGAACTCAGTCTGTAGCCGTGGCTGATCTCAAACTGACTGCCTCCTTCTTTCTGGCATTAAAGGCACATGCCACCACACCCGCTGATTTAGTACTCTGTGTGAATGTTGTGTGAGATTTGTGTGTGTGTAGCCAGAGCTTATTGTCAGCTCTTTTCCTGTGTGGCTCAGTATCTTATTTATTTATTTTACTTTATCTTAGTTTACTCATTGCTGTCATATATCTGTGTTTGTGTGTGCACACTCAAGTGTGGATATGACTCCATATCCCCAGCCTAGACTTTACTTTGAAGCACAGGCTCTCTTTGAACTCATGAAATCCTTCTGCCTCAGCCTCCCAAGGGATGAGATTGTATTGTAGGCACAACTCACACAGGTTTCACAGGTTGTGGATATGAGGAAAATGATTCTCCCTTCTACCCTTGTTTTCAGCTCCAAACCCAGTAAGAAACCTGAGGGTGGAAACTCAGAACAACAGCTCCATCACCCTGAGCTGGGACGAACCAGAAGGTCATGACCCATCTAACCTTACCTACTGGATCCAGTGGCTTGGAGAAGACTACAGCAATGTATCTAAAAGCACAACAACCACTAGTTTTGTGGTGGATAGCCTTGCTCCTGCTTCTACATATGAATTTTTCATGTGGGTAGAAAAAAATGAAATCAATAGCACCACGGAGACCCTCAACGCCTCCACAGGTGAGAGGCAGAATCTCTTGTATTCTTTCTTTATTTTGAAGGGACGAGTTTAGGGGTGACTGGAGAGCCTGATGCTGGTAGTGCACACCTTTAATCCTAGCTCCTGGACTCCAGAGACAGGCAGATCTCTTTGACTCTGAGGTTGGCCTGCTCTACAGAGTGAGTTTCTAAACAGTCAGAGCAACACAGAGTAACCATGTTGAAAGAGACAGAGAGAGAGAGAGAGAGAGAGAGAGAGAGAGAGAGAGAATACAGAAGGTAGCAGATTCCACAATCAAACAGAACTAGACTGAAACACAAACAAGCGAATATCTGCGTTTGTCACTCACGTTAAACAGATGAAACTCGACATAGGTGAAGTTGACCCTCATAGTTCTGTGACCCTGTGGGTCCAAGAAGACCCTTTCTTTATATTATGAGCATAAAGGGAGCACAACACCAGCATTCCTAATTTCATAGTAAATTATTCCAGCTCAATGGCATGTGACTGGCCACGTCCCAGGAACTCACGCATCACACAAAACTTGTACCTCCCTATTGGACTTCTTATTGTTCTCACCCATCCCACCCCACAACGGGGTCCATGACCTACATAAATGTGAGGATTAGGAATAGCTGTTCTTCCCATTGGTCCCTACTTAGAGCCCCAATCAGAACAATTTCAGGACAGTTGATCTGAGGAACAACTGCGTTGACCTTTGTTTTTACTTTCTGACCTGGTGTGGGTATAGAGTTACCCACTGAGGTGGCTGTGTCACCGAAGACAGTGGCTTCCTCTCAATCAGCAATCCTGGAGTGCTAAGGTCTCAAGAGGGCCTTCTCTCTTTATGGCTGCGTACTTAGGGCTTTAATCTTGTGTAGGCTTCATGTCTACAAGCACAGCTGCTGGGGTTCATTTGTACTACAGCCTTGTCATCCCAAAGACAGCATTGCACATGTCCTCTTTATCTTCCTGTTCTTTCAATCTATTAACTTCTTTTCCGTTATAATCCCTTAGAAGGGCTGACAGATATCTCTTCAACATCTCAGCCATTCCCAAGGCTCCATGATAACCACCATCCCTACAGACAGCAGAGTCTTTGACTAATCCTGAGGAGCCATGAAGGTAGCTGGTTGCAGTTCATGCACTGGCCCCTACTTGGTCCCTATAGCTCTGTGGGCTTCTGCATGTGCACATCCTGTCTCATTCTTATTTTATTTATTTATTTATTTATTTATTTATTTATTTATTTATGTTCTGTCTATCTATATCTATTTATCTATCCATTTATCATTTTGTTTTTCAAGACAGAGGTTTTCTGGGAATCTTAGACCATTTAAGTCTGTAACATTAGGGCCAACTTTTTGGGGTTTCTGTCCCACCTGGGACCCCACAGTCAGCAAGTCCCAAAGATAATTACACAGAGATCTACATAAGTTATAAAACTGATTGGCCCCTTAGCTCAGGCTTCTTATTAGCTCTTGCAATGTATATTAACACATAATTATTATCTATGTTAGCTACATGGCTCAGTACCTTTTTCAGCAGGGTTCGTCTCATCCTGCTTCTTCTGTGATCTTGGCAGGAGTCGAGGGAGCTTTCTGCTTCCCAAATTCTCCTGTTCTCACCACCCCACCTCTACTTCCTGTCTGGTTGACCCGCCTATACTTGCAGCTTGGCCAATCAGTGTTTATTTAAAACATGATTGACAGAGAATACAGACAATTCTCCTCTACCACTTCCCCCTCTTTTTTATTTTTAAACAAAGGAAAATATCTATAGTTCATTTTTTTTTTTGGGGAATGTGGGTGTAGATTTTTAGGCTACTTTCTGCTGGCTGGGGGCGTTGATAATCTTATAGGGACCTAAAGAAAATTTAGAGTTATAATCAAGTCCTGACTGGAGTATCCTGTGAGTCTTGATCATTTCGGGCAGCAGTCTTGAATATGTTCTGGTTGTAGAACTCAGATATCCGGGCCATCTGTTCCTTCTGGAGATTTCTCAGGTGATCTTCCTTGATCAAACCTGATTTTTCTTAATTCAGAATAAATCCACAGTTTCTCATTTCCTGTGGAAACAAAAGCAAAATCTCTTCTCCAAAGTAACATACCTTTTTGACTTCAATTTTAAAGTTAAGGTATTTTCAAAATACCTATCTTGGATTAATTCAGCAGCATTTATTAGCAAGTATCTTTTAGCAGCTATTGCTCCTTCCTCAGCATTCAAACAGTTCAAAGAGAGCATAATAACAAATAGTATCCAGATTCTCTGTGTGTTTTTTATCTTTACGTGGCTTTATTTTAACCTCTATTTCTTATATCTTTACTTTTTGAGACAGGGTTTCTGTGTATCTTTGTCCTGGAACTCACACTGTAGACCAGGCTGTCCTTGAACTCACAGAAATCCGCTTGCCTCTGCCTCCCCAGTGCTGGGATTAAAGGTGTGTACTACAACACTTTGAAGTCATAGAAGTCAATCTATTTCTGCTCCTTGAAGTCTCAGAGGTCAATGTACCTCTGCCTTCCAAATGTTGGGATTAAAGGTGTGTATCACCACACCCAACTACTCTCTCTCTTTTTTACTTTAAGAACTTTAATCTTTAACCTGCATATATTTTTAACATACTGTAAACCATTTAGAGGTTTTCTTTGTCTTTGAATCTCTCTTTACTGTATATCTCTCTTTTTCTGACTACATGAGTCTTTAATTTGCTAAGCAATGTGGGTAGGATTAAAGCCGTGTCTTTGATGGCTGGATCCAACCTATTTCTTAGCTTTCTGACATTTCAGCCATGGCATGGGTGGTTCAGTGGTAGACGCCTCATGGCTGAGGTACTGACTATTGCCATGTTTATTGCCACAACTCTATGGTGTTTCAAGGTCCTTGCCAGCAAGCAAGCTGTAACAGTGTGTCTACAAACAACACTCAAATACTCTCTCTGTAGTCAGACCTCCTGTCTTAAAGAGTTTGCATTGGCAGGACGGCCCAGAAAGCAGGCATTTTAAAATGGTGCAGCTTTTTTCCTGCTACAGCTGAAAACCAACAAGCATGAGGTCAGCTTTTATCAACACTATTTAAGGTCCTCTTAAAGAGCTGCAGGGTTTTGTGGCTAAAGCTGAGTCAGGAAGCCTTTCTTAGATGAGAGCACTTGCTTGCCTCTAGCAAGCAGAGTAGACCCGAGAAATTACTGCTACCAAGAAGCCATGCATAATGCTGTTATTTTGTTCTAGAATTACTTCCCAAGCTGTCTCAGGCTTTATGTGGATGCAGTTATCCATGTGGGCACCATTCTGCAACATGAGGGCCAGTTTGTTGGGGTTTCTGTCCTGCCCAGTACCCCACAGCTGGCAAGTCCCAAAGAAAATTCACACAGAGAGTCTGCATTACTTATAAACTGATTGACCCATTAGCTCAGGCTTCTTACTAGCTCTTGTAGCTTATATTAATCCATTGTTCACCATAACTCAGTCTTTAGACCCAGCTGGTTTCAAACTTTCTGCCTCCCATGTGCTGGGATCAAAGGCACATGCCACCCCCGACTGATTTAGTACTCTGTGTGAATGTGTGTGTGAGAATTTGTGTGTGTGTAGCCAGAGCTTATTGTCAGCTGTCTTCCTCTGTGGCTCAGTATCTAATTTCTTTCTTTTACTTTATCTTAATTTATTCATTGCTCTCATATATCTGTGTTTGTGTGTGCAGTCTCTAGTATGGATATGACTCCATATCCCCATCTGGAGTTCACTATGAAGCCCAGGCTGTCTTTGAACTTATGAATTCCTTTTGCCTTAGCCTCCCAAGTGATAAGATTGTATTGTAGTCACAAGTCACACAGGTTTCATAGATTGAAGAAATTTGGGGAGAAATCATTCTCCCTTCTGCCCTTATTTTCTGTTTCAAACCCAGTGGGAAACCTTTGGGTCGAAGATGAGACTAACAGCTCCATCACCCTGATTTGGGATGTCCCTGAGTGCTCCTTTTCCCGGGACCTCACCTACTGAGCCCAGAGCATGTGGTATGGTGGTGAAAGTGAGACTCCAGACACATCAACCTCCAATGTCACCATGGATGCACTGGATCCTGGCTCTTTCTATAAACATTCCTTATGGGTGGGAAGAGATGGAGTCACAGCTCCTGGTGACTCAGTAACTGCAGAGATGAGAGAAGACATTATCTGTTTACTACCCTCTGCCTGCTTTCTCTCACACCCTCCCTCTGTCTCTCTCTTATTAGCCTCTGAGGCCTGGACCTCACAACCCCTCCTGCCAGTACTTCCTAGATGCTTGTATTATCAGTGTGCACCATCGGGGGCTGAAGAGATGGCTCAGCAGTTAAGAGCATTGCCTGCTCTTCCAAAGGTCCTGAGTTCAATTCCCAGCAACCACATGGTGGCTCACAACCATCTGTAAAGAGGCCTGCAGGCATACACACAGACAGAACATTGTATACATAATAAATAAATATTAAAAAAATAAATAAGTATGCACCATCACACCTGGCTCAAGTTCTTAAAAAGATTTTATCTATTTAGTTTATGTATTTGAGTGTTTTTCTTGCACATGTGCAAGTGCCCCAGGTTCATGCATTGTCCTTGTAACCAGGTGGGGTTTAGGATCCTTTGGAAATCGACAGACAGTTGTGAGCTGCTTCTGGATGCTAGGAACTGAACTCTGGGTCCTTAGCATGAGCAGGAAATGCTCTTAAGCTCTGAGCCTTCTCTCCAGCCTCACATCTGGTGTCTCATCCCTTTGTTGGTGATGGTGTGTGGTTAGAGGGTGGGTGGGAGCTGTCAGGAGAAGGGGGCAGAAATGGAAAGGAAGCCACACACTTAAACTTCAGTCTTCTGATGTGGGACCCCCCTCTGCATGCTGTGAATATATTTTATTACCATTGGTTAATAAAGAAGCTGATTTGGTCAAGAGCCAGACCAAATAGGGCCAGGCAGGATACAGGGAAAAAGGATACATAATAAAAGAAGTTTTAGTTAGGGAGATGCCATGTAGCTGCCGTAGGAGGAAGATACCAGAACATATTGGTAAGCAGCAGTCACGTGTTGGTATATAGATTATTATAAACGGCTTAAGTTAATTGTGTGATCTAGTCAGTAATAAGCCTGAGCTAATAGGCCAAACAGTTTCTAATTAATATAAGTTTCTGTGTGATTACTCAGTACTGGGCGCCTGGGAAATGAAAGCTCAGCCTCCAGTTACAGTCTTCTATCAGCTGCTCTAAAATAGAGGGAAAGAAAGAAGAAAGATGCCATTGACCTTCATGAGAGATTAGTTTTTCTTTTTGGTTTCTTGAGACAGGGTTTCTCTGTGTAACAGCCCTGGCAGTCCTGAAACTCTTTTTGTAGACTAGGGTGGCCTCAAATTCACAGAAATCCACCTGCCTTCCAAGTGCTAGAATTAAAGGTGAGCACCCTCACCATCAGGCTTCATGAGAGATTTTGGAAAGATCTAGAGCATCTCATTTCTACATGCAACCCATATTTTAAAAAGCAATGAGGTTGGACTTGGGGAACGTTCTTATTATTTCCTTCATTTCTTCTTTCTTTGAACAGGATCTTGCTCTGTCCCCTGCTGTCCTTCTGCCTCAGCTTCCCGAGTCCTGAATTCACAGACAGGAGCCACCATGCTCTGCTAGGTCTGACATTATTCATCTTAGTAATAAATACAGCTCTGTGCATTAACCTCACCAGCATCCTCGTGACAACCAGCCACATTCTAAGAATTCAGAGGCAAATGGAAACTGTGCTGCCATATTGGAATAAATAGGTCTGAGTCATCCTGCTTCTGTCACCTGGAACAACCCTTGATGTCCCCTCTGTTCCCATTTCAGCTCCAAACCCAGTAAGAAACCTGAGTGTGGAAACTCAGACCAACAGCTCCATCACCCTGAGCTGGGACAAACCAGATGGTCGTAATGACACAGTTAACCTGACCTATTGGGTCCAGTGGCCTGGAGATGAGGACAACTATAAAAATAAAAGCACAACGAACACCAGTGTCGTGGTGGATAACCTTGCTCCTGGTTCTACATATGAATTTTCCGTGTGGGTTGAATACGATGGAATCAGAAGCACCACGGTGACCATCAATGCCTCTACAGGTGAGAGGCAGACTCTCTTGTATTCTTTCTTCCTTGGGAAGGGACAGGTTTAAGGGGTGACAGGAGAGCCTGGTGGTGGTGGCAGCACACATCTTTAATCCTAGAACTTGGGAGGCAGAAGTAGGCAAATCTCTTTGTGTGTAAGGCCAGCCTGGTCTACTGAGTGAGTTCCCGGGCAGGCTTCAAAGCTACAGAGAAATCCTATGTTGAACCCTTGCCCCCCACAAAGGATAATTTCACGGAGCTGGCTTCTAATTTTATCTCAGGGAGTGGAACAGAGATTGTGGGAACCAAGGTTTGTGACTACATGACTTACATTCTCTCACTGGAGGTCCCATAGAGTCTCCCAATGAGCCGAGGAACAAGACAGGCTTTTAAATGTCCACAGTCCCTGTGGGACACATAGATCCAGTTATGAAGCATGTCTCAGTATATATTCTATCAAGACTATATATCTAAATTAAGTCATCTTTCTCACCACCCACAATTACATGTGCCCATAAGACTGAGATGTTCTCATGAGATTACATATACATGTTACATGAGATTACACCCTACAGTGCAGGTATAGGGGGTATAGACCTTGTCTGGACAGGACTAACCTCCATCAGATCCTTATTCCTCCGGTGGGCTAACATCTGAATACTAGCTGTCACCTGCTGTAACTCTCATGGTCCCTGAAAATTTCCTCTTCTTCCTTCCTTTTTCCCCTTTAGACCTCGTCTTTGTCCCCTCCCAGCCCCTTGCATACATACTATAGATATATATATATAAAACATATATATATGCTTTAGATACAGATTGTACATGAGAGGAAAACGTTAATTCTTGTTTTCTGAGTCTTTAGTCATGTTTAATATTCCACCAATTTTCCTGAAAATGTCATAATTTCATTCTTCTTTATAGCTGAATAAAATTCCAGTGCCCCCCCCTCTCGTGTGTGATATCACATTTTCTTTATCAACTTGTCTACAGATGAACCTCTAGGAGGGCCCTGTATCTTGGCTATTGTAACTAGTATAGCAGTAATGGCGGATATGAACATATTTCTGTGGAATGCTGGCTTCAAATCTGGGTCAACTGTGGAGGTACAGGCCTGAAATCCCAGCTGTTGGAAAGTGGAGGCAGAGGATGATGAGGTCAGGGTTACCCTGGCTGTATATCAACTTGAAGGCCAGCCTAGCTGACATGAGACCTTACAACAAGACAAGATGAAACAACCCTTTTTCAGATCCACCCCCGGGCTGGGGCGATACATCTGGGTGATACGGATATTCTAGCTTTAGTTTTTGGACTCCTGTACTGATTTCTACAGGGGCTGCCCCGTTTTACACATTCACATGGGCTCCACTCTTTAACCCACAACTCTTCTAGCCCTGCCTCCTGGCTGGGCCATGGGAACACTGTGGCCACGTCTGGGTCTGTCCAGATGTCAGTAGCAGCTGTCGATATCTGAGTGTGCTGCTACAGGAGCCCAGGCCATCTGAGGTCCTATGACTAAGTGTCCTTCACAGGCTGGGCAGCTCAAGGTCAGGCTTATCACCACTCTACAGTCTAGATTCTCTGTTCCTTCTGCTAGTCCCTAATGCTGTGATGGTTTAGGATCCAGAACCAGACCGACAGATCCATCAGCTTGAGCTGGACAGCACCAGTGGGTTCCCGTGATACCAGCTACACCTCCTGGATCTCATGGACCTTGGAGGACAATCCTGTCACCAGAGTAGAACACACTGTTGACACTAATATCATATTAGAGACACTGGAACCTGGGAGCTTGTACAACTTCACTGTCTGGGCTGAGAGGAACGAAATCGGAGGTTATAGCAGTAGTGTTCTTGGAGCTACTGCTAAGGCTTGGTCCAATTCTGATCACAGCACTATTGGGATATTATTATATTAATATTATATATAATGTTATATATAGTCTGTGATATATATCATAGTCTGTGTAGGGTAATATAAAATATATAATCATATTTATTAATAGTATATCATATACAAACATATAATAATTATACATTATATAGTTAACATATTAACATATCATATGTTATATTATACATCCAATGCACGGTGTGTAATATATGTTAATATTAACATATCAATATATTGATACAATATAATATAAGTATATAATTATAAAATTAATTTGGCATAATATTAATAATTATACACATAATAACATAATATAATATATAACGTATGATATATAATATATTATATTCCATACACTAAAATAAGGTATACTGTTATATAATATATTAATATACACTATCTTAATATATAATATGCTAATATAATATGTAATATTATATATCCTTACACATACAATGACACATACATGTAACTAAAATATTTCTAAAGTGAAAAATGCGAGTGAACTACAAATTCCATAATGTCATGAGGTTGGAATTTTATACATTCAGTAATACAGAGTCCAAGGCATTGTAGGGGTTTGTAGTCTGGGAGGACTTTAGTCGTTTGGGGACAAGAGAAGATGAGGTGTTTGAGTCTGGAGAGGAAGAGAGTGGGCTAGCCTCTGAGAGCTGGGCACGCAGAACCAACCATCTTTGGTGAATGGCTCATACTTATGATTCCTCTTGTTTTCTTTACTCAGTCCCAGCTGCGGTCAGCGAACCCTCCTGTGTCAGCACTTCTGGGGGCTATGGGGTCATTCTTACCTGGCCCTGCCCATCTGGGGGTTATGATACCTTTGAGGTGGAAGTGGGCGGACAACGGAGAAACCAGTCTTCCTGTGGGATGGGCATGTCTGTGTCAGATCTTGGGCCAGCTCAGTCTTACACGGCCACCATCACAACTATCTTGCATGGACTGAGGGCCTCACCCTTCTCTGTGACCTGCCACACAGAGAGTACAGGTGAGTGGAGCCGGGGACAGAGAGTACAGGTGAGTGGAGCCGGGGACAGAGGGTGCAGGTGAGTGGAGCCCGGGGACAGAGAGTACAGGTGAGTGGAGCCCGGGGACAGAGAGTACAGGTGAGTGGAGCCCCGGGGACAGAGAGTACAGGTGAGTGGAGCCGGGGACAGAGAGTACAGGTGAGTGGAGCCGGGGACAGAGAGTACAGGTGAGTGGAGCCGGGGACAGAGGGTGCAGGTGAGTGGAGCCCCGGGACAGAGAGTACAGGTGAGTGGAGCCCGGGACAGAGGGTGCAGGTGAGTGGAGCCCGGGGACAGAGAGTACAGGTGAGTGGAGCCCCGGGACAGAGAGTACAGGTGAGTGGAGCCCGGGGACAGAGAGTACAGGTGAGTGGAGCCCGGGGACAGAGAGTACAGGTGAGTGGAGCCCCGGGACAGAGAGTACAGGTGAGTGGAGCCCGGGGACAGAGGGTGCAGGTGAGTGGAGCCCGGGGACAGAGGGTGCAGGTGAGTGGAGCCGGGGACAGAGAGTACAGGTGAGTGGAGCCCGGGGACAAGCCTTCAGAGGTCGCCGGAAAGGGAGGCCATGGGTTTTTGTTTGTTGTTATTTTTTGTTTTGTATTTTTGTTTGTTTTTATTTGTTGTGTTTTGTTTTGTTTTGGTCTGTCTGCCTTTTGTTTTCTGGCTTCTCTGTGTGTCCTTCTTTCTCTCTGAGTCTGTACATGTGTGTGCAGCTTCATGTGCAAAAACATGTATGTATGCACGTGGCCAGAGGACAGTCTTGGGTGTTGTTCATGTAGCATCTACATTACAATAGTTTTCTAACATTTACTCGTTTATTTTTCTTTATTTGTGTGTATGTCATGTTGCACATGTAGAGGTCAGAAAACAAATTGCATACGTCAAGTGTTTCCTTCCGCCATGTGGTCACGGGGACCCAACTCCGTGTCTTAGGCCTGGTGCCAGCACCTCAGCCCTGACCCATCTTACAGCTCCACGTAGTTTTTTCTTTTTGAGAAGTAGTCTCTCATTGATTTGAAACTGACGAAGCGGGGTTGTGCTGGTTGGGGGATCTGCATGTCTCTGCTGTCCCAGACAGATAGTATAGGCACGTGCCAGCATCTGGTGTGTTCTGAGATAGTATAGACATGTGCCAGCATCTAGTGTGTTCTGAGATAGTATAGGCACATGACAACATCTGGTGTGTTCTGAGATTTTATAGGCATGTGTCAGCATCTGGTGTGTTCTGAGATAGTGTAGGCATGTGCCAGCATCTGGTGTGTTCTGAGATAGTATAGACATGTGCCAGCATCTGGTGTGTTCTGAGATAGTATAGGCACATGACAACATCTGGTGTGTTCTGAGATAGTATAGACATGTACCAGCATCTAGTGTGTTCTGAGATAGTATAGGCACATGACAACATCTGGTGTGTTCTGAGATAGTATAGGCATGTGTCAGCATCTGGTGTATTCTGAGATTGTATAGACATGTGCCAGCATCTAGTGTGTTCTGAGATAGTATAGGCACATGACAACATCTGGTGTGTTCTGAGATAGTATAGGCATGTGTCAGCATCTGGTGTATTCTGAGATTGTATAGACATGTGCCAGCATCTAGTGTGTTCTGAGATAGTATAGGCACATGACAACATCTGGTGTGTTCTGAGATAGTATAGGCATGTGTCAGCATCTGGTGTATTCTGAGATTGTATAGACATGTGCCAGCATCTAGTGTGTTCTGAGATAGTATAGGCACATGACAACATCTGGTGTGTTCTGAGATAGTATAGGCATGTGTCAGCATCTGGTGTATTCTGAGATAGTATAGACATGTGCCAGCATCTAGTGTGTTCTGAGATAGTATAGGTACATGACAACATCTGGTGTATTCTGAGATAGTATAGGCACATGTCAGCATACGTGGTGTGCTCTAAGATAGTATAGGCACGTGCTAGAATACCTGGTGAGTTCTGAGATGATATAGGCATGTGCCAGCATACCTGGTGAGTTCTGAGATAGTATAGGCACGTGCCAGCTTCTGGTGTGTTCTGAGATAGTATAGACACGTGCCAGCATGCCTGGTATGTTCTGAGCCCTAACTCAGTCCTCACACTTGCAGGGCAAGCACTTTACTGATTGAACCAACTCCTTAGCCCTCCTGATTTTCTTAAAACAGTTTTCTAGAGATAAAATCCATTGGCCGTACAACTCACTCACTTGAAGTCACCAAACAACTTGATGCTAGACAGTGTATTTCCAATGCCATTGCATCTTTCATTACTATTTATTTGAGAATAATTTTCTTTAATTAAAAAATATTTATTTTTATCTGTATAGGTGTTTTTGCCTTCAGGATGTTTGTGTACCATTCTCATGCAGTACCCTCAGAGGCCAGAAGAGGGCCTCAGATTCCCTAAAACTGGTGTTACAGATGGTTGTGGGCTGCCATGGAGTGCTGGAAGTTGAACCCAGATCCTCTAGAAGAGCAGCTGGTGCTTTAAATGTTGAACCACATCTATCCAGCTGCATTCTCTACCTTAGTAGATTTTTATCTCTAATCTTTTTTTTTTTTTTTTTTTTTAGTTTTTTTTTTTTTTTTCGAGACAGGGTTTCTCTGTAGCTTTGGAGCCTGTCCTGGCACTAGCTCTTGTAGACCAGGCTGGTCTCGAACTCACAGAGATCCACCTGCCTCTGCCTCCCGAGTGCTGGGATTAAAGGCGTGTGCCACCACCGCCCGGCTATCTCTAATCTTTCTTTTAAATTTTTTATTACATTTATTTATTTGTCTTTGGGGGGAGGTGCACACACACCACTATGCCTGTATGGAAGTCAAGAACAACTTGCTAGAGTCAGTTGTTTCCTTCAACCATGTGGGTCCTGTCACTGGGCTTGGCAGCAAGCGCCTCTACCCCCTGAGCCATCTTGCTGGCCCTACCATGACCTCTTGGGATGTATCTTTCACTTTGTCCTGTAGATGGAAGTTTCTGTCCCTCCCAGTCCTGCAGCCATTCAGTCCCAAAGAAACACACAGAGGCTTATATTAATTATAAACTGTTTGGCCTATTAGCTCAGGCTTACTAACTAGCTCTTACAACTTATATTAACCCATAGTTCTTGTCTATGATTAGCCATGTGACTTGGTACCTTATCTCAGTAAGACATTCTCATTCTGCTTCCTCTGCATCTGACTGGTGGCTGCATCTCTGCCTTTCCTCTTCCCAGAATTCTCCTAGTCTGGTTGCCCCGCCTATACTTCCTGCCTGGCTACTGGCCAATCAGCATTTTATTAAACCTGTATGAGTGACAAATCTTTACAGTGCACAAGAGCATTTTCCCACAGCACTGTCCCCTTTGTCTCTTCCTAGAAATCAGGGATTCTAGTAATACTAGGTGACCATCCTGGAGAGACAGTGGAAGTGGATGCAATGTTAAACGTATGGTTCTTGAACCTTGGTTTGCCCGGCTCTGTTGCTTGGGAGTGTTTCCCCCTTAGCAAACTAGCATCCTGGAGGGGACAAAGTGTCTGGTCAAATTATGAAGGACCAAATTGGTGAGGTACGCAAGTCCTCGTGAAGGATTATCTTCCTCCTGGAGTCTGTTGACCACCAACTCTGTACAGCCAAGACTGCCAGGAAGCTGCAGCCTCCAGCTTCCATGGCTGATGGAAATGGGTCTGCCCTAGAACTTTGGCTATCTAAGGACAGATCCTAGGAGATCTGTGCCCATCAGAGCTGGGAACAAGCAAGTCCCTGAGTACTACCAGACATCAGCCGAGCTCCACTGCTCCGCACCCTTCCTCTGGCAAGCAAATCTCTGAGAAAACCAAGTCTCTCTCCTTAGGGAGAACTAATGCCATGAAGATGAGGGATTGTGTAATGGTTGGTTTTAACTGTCAACTTGCCACAGCCCAGAGCCACTTGGAAGGGATTCTCAGGGTGGGACTGCCTAGATTAAGCAAGCCCATGCATTCTTGGGTGGTTGTCTTGGTTACCAGGAAGCCCTGCCCACTGTGGGTGGCACTGGTCCCTGAGTAGGGAATCCTGGATTGTATAGGCTTGGAAGTAATACATTGAGCACTGGCATTCCTTAATTCACTGTCCTCCATTCTCGACTGAGGATGCGACGTGACTAGCTACTTCAAGTTCACGCTGTCTAGACTTCCCCACGGGGATGGTGAACCAGATAAGTTCTTTGTCTTCTAAGTTGCTTTTTGTTGTTGTTTTTCGAGACAGGGTTTCTCTGTGTAGCCCTGGCTGTCCTAGAACTCACCAGGCTGGCCTTGAACTCTCAGGAGATTGCTTGCCTCTGCCTCCTGTGTGCTGGGGTGAAAGGCGGGAGTCACCACGTCCAGCTAAGAAGACATAGTGCTTTTGTTGAGTTTTGTTGCCAATCTTCCATGGAACTCCATCTCCAGCGTGTCTGATGTCCTCTTCTGACCTCTAAGGAACATGTTCTCTCTCTCTCTCTCTCTCTCTCTCTCTCTCTCTCTCTCTCTCTCTCTCTCTCACACACACACACACACACACACACACACACACAGAGGTTGTTGTTATCATCATCATCTCTCCACTTCTCATTGTAGGGGTCATTGTGGGAGTCATCGTGGGCATCCTCTTGCTTTTCATCCTTGTGGGCCTCCTGATTTTCTTCCTGAAGAGGAGGTGAGACTTGGAACAGGACTGGTGGTGGGTGTTTGGCTAGCGGGAGCCCAGAAGGGAAGATGAGGATCCCTGGTCCTGGGCTCAAGCTGGAGTTTTACATCCCAGTGTCTTTCTTCCAGAAGAAAGAGGAGCCAGCAGAAGAAAACGCCCAAGGATCTGGTGTTCAGGTGTGTTGGGTGGAGGGGAGCATCTGAGGAAATCACTGTCAGGTAAAGCAAGGGGGCATTTGCTGCTCCCTGGATAGGTCAGAGGGCAAACCAAGTCTCAGAGGGGATTGTGAGCTCCTGCAATGGGCCACAGCTAATTCCTGGAGATTCAGCCTAGAGTTAATTCTCCTTTTTTTCCTTTAAAAACTTTATTTATTATTCCTTGACAATTTCATACATATACACAATGTGATTTGATCATATTCAGCCTAATTTTGAATTTTATTTATTTTATGTGTGTTGGTAGAAGTTTCTGTCTAGCAAGCTGATCCCAAGTAACCACACAGAGGCTTAATATTAATTTTAAATACTTTGGCCAATAGCTCAGGCTTGTTACAAGCTAACTCTTACATTTAAATTAACCCATATTTCTTATCTATGAGTTGCCATGTGGCTTGGTACCTTTTCTTAGTACAGCATGCTCATCTTGCTTCTCCCTACATCTGCTGGCATCTCTGACTCTGCCCTTCTTCATCTCATCCTTAGTTTGGTTGTCCGTTCAATACTTCCTGCCTGTGTACAGTAGGATTACTCCACAGCATATGTGTATGTGTGTTTTGCCTGCATACATGTTTGTTTACTACATGGAGTCTTAGTACCTGAGGAGGGCAGAAGAGAGCATCAGATCCCATTAGAACTAGAGTTACATGCAGATGGCTGTGAGTGGCCATGAGGGTATGGGTGCTGGGGGATTGAACCTGAATCCTCTGGAAGAGCAGCCAATGCTCTTAACCACTGAGCCATCTCTCCAGTCCCCATCCTAACTGCTTTACATTTGTGTCTTTGTGTCCACACACTACACATGCATGTGAGGAGGTCAGGGGACTCTTGTGGGAGCTGGAGCTGGTTCTCTCTTTCCACATGTGGGTCTTGGGCATCTAACTCAACTTGTGTTCTAGCACCAGGAAGGGCTGAAGAGCAAGATAACATAGACTATGCTGTATATGTGGAGACAAACAGCGCAAGAAGAGAGGAGAAGAAGGTCGAGGAACACTCTAGACAGGGCATGACAACTAGAGGAGGGGCCCAGGCATGGTGGCGCACGCCTTTAATCCCAGCACTCAGGAACCAGAGGCAGGCAGATCTCTGTGAGTTCAAGGCCTGGTCTACAAAGTGAGTTCCAGGACAGCCTGGGCTGTGTCACAGAGAAACCCTGTTTTGAATCAACAGCAGCAACAGTAACAAGAACAACAAAACCAAAACAAAAAAGAAGAAAAGGATGATTCAGTCATGAAGCTACTTGCTGCCACACCTGATGACCGGAGTCCAGTCCTCACTGTGGACAGAAACATGACTCCCATAGCTGTTTACTAACCTACACACACACACACACCAGGGCGCACGCACACTTCCCTACCCACACCCCAACACACACCGAATAAAATGCGTAATAAAAAAAGCTGCTAGAGGGAAGCTGAAGCCAACTACGAACATGAGCAAAGAGCTGAGGAAGTCAGGAGGGCTTGGGACAGTTCCTGCTTCTGAGGAGGGGTGACACAGAGAGCTGAAAGGGCTCAGACAAGCTGGAGCGGGAAGGATAGAAACCTAGGCCTTGAGCGCCACCGTGTGTGCAAACAGCAGAAGTGACTACAGGCCGCCTTAAAAGAAAGACACACACAAAGAGAGTTTGTGCATCTAGGCTTCTGGGAAGGATTCGGGCAGCCTCAGGAAATTCTGTCAGGCTATGGGAAGGGTAGTTTTGCTTTCTGAAAGTTTCAGATAAAGAACAGATAAATGGCTGCAAGGTGGAGTTACTCTGGCTAGGACTGAGACCAGTCTCTGTACATGGGGTAAGGGCTCCCCCACTATGGGGACAGGCAGGTAGCAGCAGTCGGGGTGCTTAGGGCACACCGTGTATCTTTGAGATTGGGTGGTGTGAACACAGGGAAGGGTGTTAGGGAGCGATGCCAGAGAGGGGTCTGGTGGGGCTCGGCAGGTGGAGTCTTGCGGAAGACAGCAAGGATATCAATGTACTTCTGGGGGCGGGGGGGATAGGGTTTTCTGTTTAAGATTTTTATTAAGTTTTTTATGTGCAAGGGTGCTTTGCTGCATGCTTGTGCACCGTGTGTAATGCAGTACCTACAGAGGACAGAAAAGGGCGTCGGATCGCCCAGAACTGGAGTCGCCATGGCTGTGAGTCATTATGTGGGCGCTGGGAATCAAAGCTAGGCCCTCAGGAAGAGCAGCCAGTGCTCTTAGCCGCTGAGCCCTTTTGCTATCCCCATCTTCTTCCTTATTATACAGTGAATAATACTTCACTGTATGAATAGATCACATTTGGTTCATCCATTAATTTACTGATGGATGCTTGGTGCTGGCTCTTGTTCTATTAAATGTTTTAGATTACATTTAAGGTGTGCAAGCATGTGTGTGGTGTACACGTGCGTGAAAGCATGCGTGCGTGCCTGAGTGTGTGTGTGTGTGCGCGTGTGCGCGCGTCTGTGTGTGAAGGAGTTGGTTCTCTTTTCCATCATACGGGTCCTAGGGATCAAAGTCAGGTAGTCAATTTATCTATTAGTGACTTTGCCTGCTGAGCCATCTTGCTGGCCCTTGTCCTGTTTTAGAGGCAAGGTTTCATTATGTAGTTCAGGCTAGCCTTGAACTCTTGGTGCTCTTCCTGCCTCAATATCACAAACCCCGGGTTTCTATTGTGTATGACCATGCGTGGCCACTGATGGGCGCTTGTGTCGCTAGCACCTTGGTCCCCCTGTGAGCCACGCTGCCGTGAACGATGCTGAGCCGACGGCTTTGAGATTGTTCTTTCTTTGGTGGATTTAACCAACAGTGGCATTGCTGGATCAAAATCATGATGACTCACTATGTAGACCAGGCTAACCTCGAACTCACAGAGATCTGCCTGCATCTGCCTCCCAAATGCTCGGTGCTTCATTTACTTTTTTTATTTCGTGGAGTGTATGTGAGGCGTGGATGTGCGAAGACAACCCACGGGAGTCAGTTCTCTCATTCCAGCACGTGGCTACCAAGGATGGAACTCAAGCAATCCGGCTTTGTGTTAGGACCCTCTACCTGCTCAGACATCTTGCCAGCCTCAAGGTGCTTAAGGTCTTTATTTATTTTTTTATTTTTTTATTTTTTTACCTTTCTTCTCGCCGCAGCGTCCCAGGGGATATCCTAGCCAAAGACTTTGCTGACCACGTCAGGGTGAAGGAGAAGGACAGCAACTATGGATTTGCTGAGGAGTATCAGGTGGGTGAGAGCAGAGGCATCACGGCTGGTAACCCACGTGCCCCGGATTCCCAGGCCCTTCTGGGTTGAGCTTGAAAACTGAGCCATCTCACCTGCCCTTAACTGTTTGGATTTACTTATTTTTATCTTATGTGTAGGTGTTTTGCCTGCATGCATGTACATATACCATGCATATGCAATGACTACAGAGGCCATAAGAGGGCGCTGGATCCTCTGCAACTGATGGTTGTGAGCAGCCATGTGGGTGCTGGGAATTGAATCAAGGTCCTTTGTAAGAGCAGCCAGTTCTCTTAACCATCGAGCCATCTTCCCAGTTTCCGTGTGTGTGTGTGTGTGTGTGTGTGTGTGTGTGTGTGTGTGTGTGCCATTTGGGACTTTCTTAGGGATCACACTTAGTCCTTAGGCTTGATTCTGAGCACCTTTATCCAATGAGTCATCTTGCTGGCCTTTATAATTTATTTAGATTATAGTCACCTCCCTGTCCTCCTCTCTTGTCCTGTCCCCCCTCACTGGTGCTTATCTTTCCTTTTCCAAAGTCCCCCCTTTCTACTTCTCAACCACCGTGTGTGTGTGTGTGTGTGTGTGTGTGTGTGTGTGTGCGCATGCGTACTCATGGACCAATGAATTGTATTAGTGTTGTTCCCAGGAATCTGGGTGAGGGGTTACTGAGTAAAGCACAGCAGCAGTGGAGAAAACGTCTCTTCCTTATCCAGCAACCACCACCGCCTGTAGATCTTCTATAAGCCCCGTCTCCTCTTAGAGACAGGGTCTCACGTAGTCCAGGCTCTCCTGGAATGTGCTATACAGTTAGAGATGACTCTGAAGTTATGATCTTTCCCCCGCCCTCTGAAATGCTGGAACTGCAGGTGTGTTTCCCTGAACCTGGCTTATGCAGGGCCTTGGGCATGCTAAGCAAGCACTCTGCCAACCGAGCCAATTTCCCAGTTTACCTCTTTTTAGTCATGCAGAAACTGCCAAGTGGGTTTCTTTCCAACTCTCTGAAACCCTGAAACAATGACGGATATTTGTTTAAGCACAAGGACTCCCTGACACCTTATTCCTCAGGGCATCCGTCAGAGGAAGCCCCTAGCTGACCCTAAGTCCTCACAAGTATCCCCAACAAGGAAGCTCATATCCTTTCAATGTTTGTGAGTGCCACGAGTCTCAAGATTCGATGGATAGCCAGGCGGTGGTGGCGTATGCTTTTAATCTCAGCACTCAGGAGGCAGAGGCAGATAGATCTCTGGGAGTTCAAGGCCAGCCTGGTCTACAGAGCAAGTTCCAGGACAGCCAGGGTTACACAGAGAAACCCTGTCTTGAAGAAAACAAAAAAGAAAAGAAAAGAAAAGAGCCAACCAAACAGACAAACAACAAAAATATTCAATGGATGAACAGAGGAGGGCACGTGGAGTTGTGAGGGCATTGAGGAAAATTCAACACCTTGAACCTCTTCTCTCTCTCTCTGCCTCTAGCAATTGGCTCCGGAGGGCCAAGGCCAGTCTCAGACGACAGCACTGGCTCCAGAGAACACATCCAAGAACCGCTACAGGAATGTACTGCCCTGTGAGTGTTTGCCACCTGCATCTGCCTCCCCGTGGAGTCTGCCAGACCCCAGTCCTGCACTCTCTCTCTCTCTCTTGCTCTCTCTCCTTCCTCCTCCTCCCCCTTCCTCTTCCTCCTCCTCTTCTTCCTCCCCCTCCTCCTCCTCTTACTCCTCCTCCTCCTCCCCCCTTCTCCCCCCCCTCCTTCCCCCCCCTCCTCTGCTGCACTGTATGTGTGTGTGTTTTCATGCATGTGCATGCAGGTATGTGCGGATCTGTATGTGGAAGCCAGAAGTCTTCTTCAGTCACTAGCCACTTCTAATTTTGTATTTAAAAAATTTTTTATTCTGAGCCAGGTGGTGGTGGCACATGCCTTTAATCCCAGCACTCAGGAGGCAGAGGCAGGAGAATCTCTCTGAGTTCCAGACAAGCCTGGTCTACAAGAGCTAGTTCCAGGATAGGTTCCAAAGCTACAGAGAAACCTTGTCTCGAAAAAACAAAAACAAAACAAAACAACAAAAATTTGTTCTGTGTGTGTGTGTGTGTGTGTGTGTGTGTGTGTGTGTGTGTGAGAGAGAGAGAGAGAGAGAGAGAGAGAGAGAGAGAGAGAGAGAGAGGTTTGTATATGGACGCACCTGTGGAGACCAGAAGGTTTGGATTGACTGGAGCTGAGTTATAGGTGGGTGTGCACCCGCAACATAGGTGTTGGGAACTGAACCCAGGTCCTCTCAAGAACAGCAAATGCTCTTATCCACAGAGCCATCTCCCTGGCACCATGGGTTGGTTGTTTTTGCATTTTTTATTTATTTAGAGTGGTGGTGGTGGACATGCATACCACAGCCTGTTGTGGCGGTCAGAGGACAGCCGGTAGGAGTCAGCTCTCTTGTTCCACCATGTGGGGACCAGGATCAAACTCAGTTCATCAGGTTTGGTAGTACCTTGCTGAGCTATCTTGCTGGACCTAATTTTGGTTTTGTTGAGACAGGGTCCCAGTAGCCCAAGCTGACATCAAACTCACTGTGTAGTCAAAGATGATCTTTAACTCTGATCCTCCCACCTCTACCTCCCAAGTGCTTGGGTTACAGCTATCACAACATCTGGTTTTATGCAGCATTAGGGATCCAGCCCAGGACTTCTTGCAAGCCAGGCAAACACTCTACCTAGCAGCTGAGCCGCATAGCCAGCCCTGCCGTGCTTTTGGAAACAGCATTTTTCACTGATCTGGAACTCACCGAGTCTGGCTGGCCTGCAACCTGTGGTGTCCTCCTGTCTGCCCCGCCCCCCCAGGGCTGGAATTACAAGCCTACTCTCCCATGCCTGGCTTTTTGATATAAGTTTTGGGTCTGGAACTGAGGCCATATCTGTGCAACAAGCCATTTACCAGCCTAGCCCCCTCGCAGTCCTTCTTTGTTTGGTTGGCTTTTGCTTTTTGTTTTCTGAGACAAGGTTTCTCTGTTTAACAGTCCTGGCTGTACTGGCTCTCACTCTGCAGACCAAGATGGCCTTGATCTCACAGAGACCTGCCTGCCTCTGCCTCCTAAGGAGTGCTCCACCAATGCTTGGCTCTCCGAGCCCTGTTTTCATTGCTGATGCTGCTCTGTTCTCCTAGATGACTGGTCTCGGGTGCCCCTGAAGCCCCTTCATGAGGAACCAGGCTCCGACTATATCAACGCCAACTTCATGCCTGTAAGGTGGCAGTGGGGGGGGGGGGACACTTCGTGAGTCTGGAGAGATAAAGAGCTGAAGGGGGTGCTGGCCAACCGATGACCTCTCCTTGACACGCCTGCTTTCCTCAACTAGGGTCTCTGGAGCTCCAAGGAATTTATTGCAACCCAGGGTCCCCTGCCTCACACTGTGGGTGATTTCTGGCGTCTGGTGTGGGAACAGAAGAGCCACACTCTGGTCATGCTGACCAACTGCATGGAGTCTGGACGGGTGAGAAGAGATCTCTGTCCTGGTGCTAACCACTGAGCACCAACCCTTGACCCTGTCCTGCCTGAACTCTGACTTGGTGCAGTCCCTCTACACACCCCTGCATCTATCTCCAACAAGGAACCATCCCCTCCACTTTCGTAATGTGATCCATGTGTGTGCACGTGTGCGTGTGTGTGTGTGTGCATGATCCATGTTCTGCTGCTGTGAGTGACTGCCACAGATATAGAACAAAGGTTCATGTGTCTCATGCTTCTGGAGGATGGGAAGTTCAAGATCATGATGCTGGCACCTGGCGAGGGTCTTCCTGCATCACGACATGATGGAAAGTACCACGTGGTGAGGCACAGCCAGTGTGCTGGCTCAGTTCTTTCTCATCGTATACAATCATGAATATCATACTGAGGGCCCCTATGACTTCATCTAATCCTAGTGTCTTCCCATAGACCTCATCTCCAGATACTGTTTGCCTATGAATTTAGGAATGAGGCTCTCAGTTCACAAGTTTTTAGAAGAAGCACATTCAAACTATATCAAGGCTCCACAGACCTTGAGATGAAGGAACCCTCTTGGCTGGTGTGAATCTATTCGATCTGGCACCCCTGTGTCCTACGTTGTTGCCAGAGTAGCAAGCATATCCTCACCTTGACTAGAAGAATCATCAAAGAGACCAGTACTTGCTTAATATGCATGAAGGCCTAGGTTCAATTCCCAGCACCGTAGAAACCTATGAAGTGGCACAAACCTATACAATCCAGCACTCTGGAAGATAGAGGCAGGAGGACCATAAGTCAAGGTCATCTTTGACTTCAAATAAAGCCCAAGTAGGTCCTCTCAGGGGGAAAAAAACCAACATGAAAAGATGTCTTGTTCTCAGGGGTGGGGAGATGGCTCAGTGGGTAAGGGATTTAACACTGGAAGCACAAGGGCCGGAGCTTGGATCCTCAGACCTGCGTAAATGCCAAGTGAGCACAGTGACTCGCTTGTAATTCTAGCCCTCAGAAGGCAGAAAAATGGAGGCTCTGTACCAAGCTGGCCAGCCAGACTAGTCATAGTGTGCAAGCTCCCTGTCTCAGTGAGTACAGTGTAGAGTGTGGTTGCAAAAGTCTCGTGACAACAGTCTCAGGCATCCATACCCGTATGCACACACATGCGTGTTCATTCCCAGTGTGCTCACACACACGCACATGCCCCATTCTGCTTTCTGACTGTCCTGGTCTCCCTGCCCAGGTGAAGTGCGAGCATTACTGGCCTCTGGATGCGCAGCCCTGTACGCATGGGCAGTTGCAAGTGACGTTGATGAGTGAGGAGGTGAAGGAGAACTGGACAGTGAGGGATCTTCAGCTCTTCCATGTGAGTCCCTTCAGCCCTACCAAGAACACCTCAAGAGATCTCCCTGCAGTGTGTGGCCCAGAAACTCCCCCGTTAGGCATAGAAGCTTCTGGAGTCTCTACACTCTCCCTGCTCAGCCCTCATCTCCTTTCAGGTGGGAGAACAACAGACTCACTCTGTGCGCCAATTCCACTTCCTGGCCTGGCCAGATCATGGAGTTCCTTACTCCCCAGACCCTTTGCTGGATTTCCAAAAGGTGCTGCGGGAGTGGGTGGACCAAAGCATGGATGGGGGTCCTCCCATTGTACATTGCAGGTGAGTGTGACCCTGGAAGTCTCTCCATTGGAGAGTTCTGTTCCCTGTCCCCAGGGACTCTGAATCCATCACAGACATGCACACATACACATAATTAAAAGAAAAATATAATCTTTAAAAATCAATTAGGGGCTGGACATACGCCTGTGATCCCACACTTGGGAGGCAGAGGCAGGTGGATCAGCTTGGTCAGGAGAGTCAGAGAAGCCCTGTTTTGAAAAACCAAAGCCAAATCAATCAAACAACAACAACAACAACAAACCCCACACCAATTTGTTTAGGAGTTATTCCTGTGAATTTCAGCTCCAGACCTGTTATTAACTGCATGGCCCGAGTCACATGACTTCCTCAACTTTCACGTTGCCACCTGTGAGATGGGTGTGCGGATACATCCCATTTTTATGCTTGGAGCAGTGACGAGACCAAGCAGAGTTCACAGAACATGGAGGCAGAAACTGCTAGTCACTGTCATTGCCCCACAGTCCCCACTTAAACTGCGACTTGTTGCCGGGAGGTGGTGGTGCATGCCTTTAATCCCAGCACTCGGGAGGCAGAGGCAGGCGGATCTCTGTGAGTTCGAGACCAGCCTGGTCTACAAGAGCTAGTTCCAAAAACCACAGAGAAACCCTGTCTCAAAAAAGCAAAGCAAAACAAAACTAAACAAAAAACCCTGCGACTTGTTGAGTGTCACACCTTCTGGGTGCTCCAAAACCACTCCATCTCAGCTGCTAGAACTCCAGACTTCCCCTTCTTCTGGAGGCCTGACCCCTGTCTTGTCCCTTGCCTAGCGCTGGCGTGGGCCGGACGGGCACCCTCATTGCATTGGACGTCCTACTCCGACAGCTGGAGTGTGAGGGGCTGGTGGGCCCCTTCAGCTTCGTGAAGAAGATGAGAGAGAGCCGGCCATTGATGGTGCAGACAGAGGTGAGGGGCTCTAAGGGGGTGTGAGCATGGTGTGGGAATGAGGTACCCTTTGGGGGAGCATTCCTCATCTCTGTGCATCCCCCCCCCAGGCCCAGTACATATTCCTCCACCAATGCATCTTGAGGTTCCTCCAGAAGTCAGCCCCCTCCCTCATCCTAAGGGAGTCGATCTATGAGAATGTGCCAAACTTCATTTATGAGAATGTAGCTGCCATCAGACCCCATGAGTCCGAGGTCTCAGCTACTGGGTGCTGAGCCTACACACAGAAATAATCAGGCTGGATACGGACCCCTGCTGAAGCCCAGAATCCTGAACCTCCAGGAGAAGTGAGGTTTGGAGTCTCAGCCTCCCCAGCCCACTGGAAAGTCATCTCCTGTTGTCCAAGGACAGGATGGGACTGCTGTACTTCTGATTTGAGCCTTGTGGGAGCTGGGAGCCTAAGGACAGGGGCAACAAGGGATTTCCTGTTCTTTGAGTGGAGGTGGCTGTGGCTGGGGCATGCAGGGTCTCAAAGAAATGGACTGGAGCCTGGATTTAGAAGAAAGAATCAGGATCTGGAATTCTGCTACTTGAGGAACCAGGGCGGGCAGGTACCTGCCCCTCCCCCGATTATTTCAGAAATGGAATCAGTCTCCTTGAATCAGAGGCTGAAGGGAGCCCCTTTGCTTGTGGTCTCCGTGCACCCCCTGCCTGCACATTCTTTCCGTCCATATAATTTATTGAACTATTCTCCTCGAAGGTGGGTTTTTGTTTCTGGAGATAATATTGGGATAGAAGAGGGGGTTCCACACATTAAAACTGGAGCAAACACATGGAGGGAACGTGAAGAGCCCATTATACTCCATCACTCACTACAAAAGGATAGCTCAGCTTGCTTTGCAAGCTTGGGGACCTGAATTTGAGCCCCAGAACCCATGTGGAAAAATCTGGGTGTGGTGAGGCTTGCTTGTAATGGTAGAAGTGAGGAGGCAGAGGTGGACAGGTCCCTAGAGCTTGATGGCCAGCCAACCTAGCCTACTCGGTGTGTTCCGGGCCAGTGAGAATGTCTCTCAAGACAAGATAGACAGGGCCACTGTGTACTCAGCTGGAAAAGACCCTTCCTGTAAAGCGTGGTGACCTGAGGTCAGTCCCCAGGAGTGCACATGGTGGCTGGAGAGAGCCAATGCCTTCAAACTGTCTTTTGACCTCCACACGCCCACTCCCCCCCCCAAATAAATAAATGTAATTTAAGTTTTTAAAAGGTGGAGGGAAAACATGCAAAGTTGCCTTCTCACCTTCACACACATGAACGTGCACCACTATACACACGGTGCGCGCGCACACACATATACAGATTCGGATGGCCACGTCTTTCAAAGAGGGGTGAGGTACTAGACCTCTGTGTTGGCTGCAGCCAAGGATGTAAGGGATTGGTTAAGGGGAAGTGATGTCTGAGAGCAGAAATGCTGGAAGCTCCTATTCCTTGCCTTGAGAATCTGGGTAACTTAGTACTTGGTCTCCAGAGGAGCTTCTCATGGATCTTGAAACCAAGTGCTCTGGAATCCAGTTAATTGCATTGTAAAAAAGTCTGTTTTGTGTGTGTGTTGCGGGGGCTGGTGCTCACTGTAGATGTCCGATGACTTAGCCAGACGTCAGAACATTCTAGGGTACTAAGATCAACGTACGTGGGCGCCATGGTGGTTCTCGGGTGTGGCGGGCCGAGGGGCGGAGCAGGGCGTTCTCCTTTCTCCGGGGCAGAACACGCACGCACACATATGCACACATTCATACACGCGCGCGCGTTCACACACAGGGGCACAGGCACCAGCCTGGCTGGACTCAGCCGCGCCCCCACCCCGCCGAGCTAGATCAGCACACCGGAGAGCGCCATCCGCCCACGTGCTGGGGGCGGGGTCCCGGCAGCCCACCACTCGGCGCTTTCAGGAGGGTCCTATCCAGCCACCTAGCAGGTAGGAGCTGTGGGACCCTCTGACCAAGCCACATCCTCAGTTCTATTCGTAGAGGGACCGAGGTGTGTGGCAGGGGTAGGGGTGAGGGACTGGGTGGAGGGACGCTGACAAGAATCAACTCTGAGTAGCAGATTGAAGCCCTAACCTAGGAGATTGCTGTGTGGAGAGGAGAGACAGGTGTGGAGACAAAGAGAGAAGGTCGGTAGGCAGAAAGCAGAAAGAGAGAGAGAGAGAGAGAGAGAGAGAGAGAGAGAGAGAGAGAGAGAGACCGAGGCCAGACAACAGAGGGCAGCAGAGACGCGGGCGAGAGAAGGATGTGGGGGACAGAGTAGGGAAGATGTCCATCTGGGGTTTAGAGAGAAGTGAACGCCGACTAGGTCACGAGAACAGGTGTGAGGACAGAGTCGGGGTGCGCACGAGAGATTCGCGAGCAAGAGGATGTGGGTGCCCAACAGAGGTGCGGGGGCAGGTTCCCCACTTCACCAGCAAGAGCGGTGGTGCAAGGGGTCCGATGTGGAGGGAGAAGCCATTGGGGATGCACAGAGCACAGACCGCCCTCAACCACCCTCGCAGGGCCGCGGGATCCCTGTCCCGAGTCCCATGCACCGGCACCGCCCGGCCTTCGTTTCTGTGCGTCAGTCCCTCCCGTTGTCTTGGCAACAGGCTCGTTGCCCAGCAACCAGCCTTGCTATCACCCTGCCTGCAGCCTGGCGGTCTCTCTGGGCAACAGCGGTCTGCTGGTTCTCATGCCTGCCTTCGCCCACTTCCGGTTCAAGCCCTTGGGAAGGGCAAGGAAGGGGCAGAAGAGGTGGTTGGGGGATGCCTGCAGAGAGGGAGCGTCCCTTTGTGATGGAATTGGGTTCTCCCAAAGCCCGCCCTGGGCCTGGAAAGGCCGAGATTCATTCCCAATGTGCACCGAAAGTCTTTGATGCGCCGAAAGCTCAATGGATGCTTGGGGGTAGGAGTGGGGGGATAGGGTACTTGGGTACCTCTGCAGGAAACACCGCAGGAACCCGACGCCATGTTCCCGGAGCCCCCTACCCCTGGCTCTCCTTCGCCTGAGACACCTCCAGACTCCAGCCGCATCAGGCAGGGTGCAGGTGAGAGAAACCTAGGCTAGCCCAAGAGGAAAACCCCCGCGGGATCCCTAGGGGCGGGACTCAGATGCAAAGACTCGGGTTGGTGAACTGGAAAATCCGGCAGGGATCATGGGTCAGAATCCCAGAGTAGACTCTGAACTGCTGAAAAGGAAAGACAGGTCTGAGAGGAAAACCAGAAGCGGATCAAGGGTGGGGCATGGAATGGGATCATAAATGGGTGAATGGAAACCGAGACCCGGGAGCGAGCAAAGAAGCGTCTTCTAAAAGCAATAGGAGTTAAGCGAACATCAAAATGTGTGTATAGACGTCACTACTGTAAGCAAGCAAGCAAGCAAACAAACAAACAACAAAAAGATAGCAAATCATGTCAGCGTGGGTTAGAGCATCAACTGGGTTTTATAGGAGAGACTGGTTGGAAGGTAAACATGGGATTAAAATGGGACAGAATTGGCTGGAGTGGCATCCAGGCTAAGATTCAAGCTGTCACAGGGAGTCAAGGCTGAGCTAGCCAGCCGACTTCCCAGAGCTTCGATGCATCTTGTGTCCATCCTTCTGCAGTGCCTGCCTGGGTCCTGGCCACCATCGTACTGGGCTCAGGCCTCCTGATCTTCAGCAGCTGTTTCTGTCTCTACCGGAAGCGCTGTCGGAGACGGATGGGCAAGAAGAGCCAGGCCCAAGCCCAAGTCCACCTTCAGGAAGTGAAAGAGCTGGGCCGGAGTTACATAGATAAGGTGTGACACGGACAGCTTCTTGACCCTTTCTTTTGCACACCCGGCTGCCCCCAATGTCCCCAGCTGTCCTCTATCTTTGGTCCCTCCACTTCTTAATCCCATTTTGTCCACTGGATTCTGGGGACCAGAGCTTGTAACTGTCCACAAAAACTCTCCAGTCTGAGCTGGGTGTGATGGTGTACATGTGCAATCCCAGCACTTGGGAGGCTGAGGCAGTAGGGTTGCCGTGAGTTCAAAATGAACCGAAGCTATATAGTGCCTGCAACGCCAGCCTGGGCTAAAAAGTGAGACCTTGCCTCACAAAACAAAACAGGACTGAGAAGCTGGCTCAGTGGTTAAGAGCACTTGCTACTCTTACAAAGGACACAGGTTCGGTTCCCAGAACCCACATGGTGGCTCCCAACCATCTGTAAGCATAGTTCTAGGAGAACCAACACCCTCTTCTGACTTCTGTGGGTGCCAGGTACATATGTGATACACATACATACGTGTGGGCAAAACACTAATACACATAAAGTAAATAAATCTATAAAACAAAACCAAATAAACAAATGAAAAAACCAGTAGGCAACGTGGTTGCTAAGCAAGCATACAGACCATAGTTCTGATCCCTTACCCACCCAAAAGCTGGGCGTGGCCATGCATGCCTATAGCTCCAGCAGTGGGGGTGGAGAGGGAGTAGAAACAGGTATATTCCTGGAACTTCATGACCAGCCTGTCTAGGAGAAATGGTAAACTTTAGCTTGAGTGAGAGACCCTGTCTCAAAAAGTAAGGTAGAGAGTAAGAGAGGAAGACACCCTCTGACCTCTGACCTTCACACACGTGCACAGGAATAGATGAGTATAGCAACATACACAGGCGTGCACACACACACACACACACACACACACACACACACACACCTATTTACAGCCATGCTGCCCTAAATATTCTGGAGAAGTGACTTACTTAGGATGTTGTCATAAGCAGGGCACAACAGACATTGTGGTATGAACAGCCCTAGAGTCAGAGGAAGTTTCCTGATGACTTCTATGGCTAGACCAGAACGACAGAGTTCGCTGAGAGCCAGGACAAGAGCATTCCGGTCAAAGGAAGAGCAGGTGTTGAGGACGGCTTACTGGGTCTTGAGGTGAAGCAATGGAGAGTTGTTCACAGTGTCCCATAGTGGGGCATCTGGAAGACTGAGCATTCTCCACGTAAGGAGGTGTTTGCCCAAGACAGGGACAGGGTCCTGGGAATGTAGCTCAACAGCCAAGCATTTTCCTGGCCATATGAAGCCCTGGATTCAATCCCCGGCACCACATAAGGCGTGGTAGTGTACCCCAGTAATCCCAGATCTTGGGAGGCGGGGCAGGAGGATCCAGAAATTCAAGGTTATCCGTGGTTACACGGCAAGTTGGAGGCTAACATGAGCTATATGACAGCATGTCTGAGAGAGAGAGAGATCAGCATATATGTCATGAATGCACACCAATGGACACACACACACACATCGAGGACTTAGGGGGTATGGAGAGTGGTAAAGAGCACTTGTTCCTCTTCCAGAGGACCACGTTCTGTCCCCAGTGCCCACGTAGGACCATGCTCTGTCCCCAGTGCCCACGTAGGACCATGCTGTCCCCAGTGCCCACGTAGGACCACGCTCTGTCCTCAGTGCCCATGTAGGACCACGTTCTGTCCCCAGTGCCCACGTAGGACCACGCTCTGTCCCCAGTGCCCACGTAGGACCACGCTCTTTCCCCAGTGCCCATGTAGGACCACGTTCTGTCCCCAGTGCCCACGTAGGACCACGCTCTGTCCCCAGTGCCATGTAGGACCACGTTCTGTCCCCAGTGCCCATGTAGGATGGCTCCCAACCACCTACAACATCTCCAGGGTATCCAATACCTCTCACCCCCATGGGCAGCTGCACTCACATGCACGTATTCACATGAAGACACACGCCTACACACAACTTAAGATATAAAAAATCAATATTAAAAAAATGAATAGACTTTGGTAGAATCTGAATATTATGCCCCCAAGGGCAGAGTGGAATTCAGGCCAGGCAGTCTTGGGTTTCCAACCCTGGGGACCATTTTTTCGTCTGTGTGACCTTGAGAGCTACATCTGCGGTTCGTGGTAATTAACTCATGTTTCTCCTCCTTTCACAACAAGTAGATGTTGTTATAATTATTACCTAGAAGGATTCTTTTTGGGATCCTGGAACCCACTCTCCATTTCTGTTCCTTAAATCAGTGATTTCAAAGGCCATGTATGTCAGAATCACCTCCAACTTTGTTGAAATGTAAATTTTGGATGGAATTCACACAGACCTCATGAATCAGAACCCCTAATGAGGTGACCTCGATATTTTACCACTAGTCTCTGATGGATACTAGACTTTGAGAGTCTATGGTGGGTTAAAAAAACCCTTATATACTAAATGCTAAGCACGTGGTAAATATACCATTTTTCCTGTGGCAAGATGATGGTGGTAATTTGTACTGTTATCCCAGTACATTCATAAGAAACAGTCCCAGACTGTGTCTCACTGTCGGTTCCTATAGCAGACATCACTAATCAAATGCTGACAGATATGTTGCCTTTGTAACCATATCTTGTTCCAGACATTACTAATCAAATACTGTTTAGACAAGAGGGAGGGGTCCGTGAGCCTCTTGACGTTTCTGAGCCTGGAGGGTGCTAGTTTCCAGAGAAGATTCCATCAAGAAGTCCCTGGTTTTTTAGGTTCAGCCTGAAATAGAGGAGCTGGATCCCTCACCATCCATGCCAGGCCAGCAGGTACCAGACAAGCACCAGCTAGGACGACTGCAGTATTCATTGGATTATGACTTCCAGACGGGTCAGGTGGGTGTGAAGGAGGGCAAATGCTTTGGAAGGGGAGACCCTGGGTGGGAGGCTGGACTAGAGTCCTTCTTCTGTGTCTGGGCCCTGCAGCTCCTGGTGGGCATCCTGCAAGCTGAAGGGCTGGCGGCGTTGGACCTAGGAGGTTCTTCAGACCCCTATGTTAGCGTCTATCTGCTGCCAGACAAGCGGAGGCGACATGAGACCAAGGTGCATCGGCAGACCCTGAATCCACACTTTGAGGAAACCTTTGCCTTCAAGGTGAGTTCCTGTTGCCATCACCCCATGGTCCTCAGCCTACCCCTCGACCCTGGAATGCTAAGGACTGACCCCTTCCGCTCTCCCTGGAAGAAGATACAGCTCAGGTAGCAGCTGCCTGTGTGTATAGGCAGTGGGAGGCGGTTCCTCGGGACCTGGAGTTGTCCCCGGGAACACTGCAGTGCCTGGGCTGTCTGTGACTTGATCCTTGTCCATTCACGTGAGTTTTCTTCTGCCCATCCCTGTACTTTACTGAGGTCCCTGGAACCTCACTGCCCATGTTATGGGGTATTTGTACACTGTGTGAAGATATGTCACTGTGGTTGGTTTAATAAAGAGCTGGATGGCCAATAGCTAGGCGGGAAGAGATTGGGGAAGACTTCTGGGGACAGAGAAGGCTCTGGGAAAAAGAAAGGCAGAGTCGCCAGCCAGACATGGAGATGAAACAAAAGGTGCAAGCTAACATCAGATGGCAGAAAGCAGATTAATACAAATGGGGTTAATTTAAGTTGTAAGATGTAAATGGAGCTACATGTTTGTTTCCCGGCTGCCCAGACCTGAATAATCACACAGACACTATATTAATTAATATTGACTGTTTGGTCAATAGCTTAGACATATTCCTAGCTAACTCTTACATCTTAAATTGACCCATTTCTATTAATCTGTGTATCACCATGAGGCTGTGGCCTACTGGTAAGGTTCCGGTGTCCTTCTCCTTCAGCAGCTACATGGCATCTCTGTGACTCTGCCTACCCTCTGCCTCTTCCAGTCTGGTTATATTCTGCCCTGCCATAGGCCAAACCAGCTTCTTTATTAACCAATGGTAATAAAATATATTCATAGCATACAGAGGGGGGAATACCACATCAGTAAGAGCTTGTTGAGACTAGCCTGAGCTAAAGGCCAAGCTTTCATAATTAATAAGAAGTCTCTGTGTAGCTAGTTGGGAGCTGGCAGCCCAAAGGAAACTGTCTACAGCCCCACTCCACTTCCACCTGAATATTCTATCCCCCACACCCTCTCTCCCTGGCTTCCTATCCTGCCCCCCTGTATTCCCTTCCTCCAGGTGCCGTATGTGGAACTGGGAGGCAGAGTGCTGGTCATGGCAGTATACGATTTCGATCGCTTCTCCCGCAATGATGCCATTGGGGAGGTGCGGGTGCCCATGAGTTCAGTGAACCTGGGCCGGCCGGTGCAGGCCTGGAGAGAGCTGCAGACGGCTCCCAAAGAGGAGGTGAGCGTGCGTGACCCCGCCCATCCCTACTCTGGACCAATCAGATAACAGGCTTTCGAGAGGGCGAACTAGCTGGCTCCACCTCCCTGGTGCCTGACTCTGGAGCATTCCATTCCAAGGCCAGCAGCCGAGGGGCCGATTTGGGTGATAGGTTCCATTCTCCTTTTAGCAGGAGAAACTGGGGGACATCTGCTTCTCTCTCCGCTATGTCCCCACGGCCGGAAAACTGACCGTCATTGTTCTGGAAGCTAAAAACCTGAAGAAGATGGATGTAGGAGGACTCTCAGGTGTGTGCAAAACAAAAAATGGTGTGTGTGTGTGTGTGTGTGTGTGTGTGTGTGTGTATGTGAGTGAGTGTTAGGGTTTATACTGCTGTGATAAAGACTATGATTTTTAAAAAAAAATGGGGAAGAAAACGTTTAATCTTACAGCTTTATTTTGTGACATTCGATCACTGACAGAAGTCAGGGCAGGAACTCAAGGAAGGCAGGAACCCGGAGGTAGGAGCTGCTGCAGATGGGCAGAAAGGAGTTCAGCTTCCTGGCTTTCTCCCCATGGCTTTCTCAGCTTGCTTCTTATACATCTGGGACCATTTGTCCAGGGTTGACACTACCCACAGTGGGAAAGGTCCTCACATCAACCCCTAATTAGGAAACTACCTCCTGCCTGCAGGCAACATCATGAAGGCATTTTCTCGTTTTTGGTTCACTCTTCTCAGATAACTCTAACTTGTATCGATTTGATAACAAAACAACAACCATGACAAGCACCAATCAGGACAGGGGGTGTGTTTTTGACTAGTGGTTCTGATAGCTTCTTGATCTGGGAGGTCCCTTAGGGGATAGCAGAACCCATACTGCTGTGGGATACAGAACTGATCCTATCCAGAAAAGGGACACCTGAGGGGTACATGGGGTGATTCTATCTGGGTCCAAAAGAGATTCTTCAAGGCTTCCACACAGCCTGATCCCATGAGCCCAGCAGTGCGGAGTTAAAGGATGCCTTTCTTTGCCCCAGATCCCTATGTGAAGGTGCACCTGCTTCAGGGAGGCAAAAAGGTTCGGAAGAAGAAAACCACCATTAAGAAGAACACCCTGAACCCCTATTATAACGAGGCCTTCAGCTTCGAGGTGCCCTGTGACCAAGTGCAGGTGAGTGCAGCCATGTCCCTGATTTTACTGAGACGGCTCCACCACGGGAACCCCCAAGGATGGTAGTGGCAAAGGGAAAGAGGCCTGGGCATCAGTGAAGAACCAGCCCTAAGGTCTGAGGTCATACTTTTCGTCTCCATTTCCTCCTCTGGAGACCAGGAGGCCTGGCCTTAGAACCTGGCCTTGGGCATGCTTTCCCCTAAGCAAGACATGCATGTGTGGACAGTAAATGCGTGTCCCCAGCAAGGCCCGCCCCCAACAAACTTAGACCTTCTAGTTCCTATTTTAAAGTCTTTGGATCACCGCACCCATATCAAGGACTTGCATGTTTGCCCCTCTTCTGAGTCCTGATCTCTAAGGAGGCCCTACCAAGCTCTGGGCCATGGGTGTTGTGGGTTTATCTCTGTAGAAGTTGGGTGTTATGGCACATGCCTTTGATCCCAGCACTCCGTAGAGGCCAAGCTGCTCTACATAGCAAGTTCTAGACCAGGCACGGCTACATAGTAAGACCCTGTCTAAAACAGGAAAAAAAGGAAGGAAGGAAGAATTTACTTTTCAAAGGAACAAAAATTCCTGGGTACCATTTTGTCTTTTCCAATTGCCACTCCTCCCTGCCCCAAACTCCCGTGGCAATGTCCCTACATAGCCTGATCACAGGGAATGTCCTTGGCATGACCCCTACACCTTTCCCTATGCCTCCTTCCTTTCTCACCCTCTCCAGAAAGTCCAGGTGGAGCTGACTGTATTGGACTATGACAAGCTGGGAAAGAATGAGGCCATCGGGAGAGTGGCAGTGGGTGCAGCCGTTGGTGGGGCTGGCCTACGGCACTGGGCTGACATGTTGGCCAACCCCAGGCGGCCCATTGCCCAGTGGCACTCGCTGCGGCCCCCTGACCGATCCAGGCCAATGGTTGCGCCCTGATCCCTATATCAGGAAAGCACCAGACCAGATCCCTCGCTCCCAGCCCCTACACTTCTCCCCACAAGCCTCTCCAGACATTGCATCTGTTCCTACCTCCACACAGGAAATATTTCTAACTTCCAGCACCACTCCCATGCCCCGAAACCACAGTGATCCTGCAGGGAGGTGGTTAAGTCTGGCATCCCCTGCCCCAGGATCCTACCCTCTGCTTTGACAATCAGCTGCGAGGCCTGTTATCTCCTTTCTCCCAGTCTCTTAGCTCTTCCCACACAGCTTAACCCCTGTGCACTGCTCCTGGGGCCAAATAAATACTCAGCAGCTTGGCGACTCAGCCCCAGTGTTCCTTGATGTGCGTACGGAGGGGAAGGAGGGCAGGACCCAGTGGCTGGAACCAAGAACGACGCTGGCCTCCCAGCCCAAGGGCATGCCAGGTCGGATTAACACTGAACACCTTGGACACCCACCCAGGGAAACCCACCCACCTACCACTAACCCATTCATATACTTATCCATTCTTTCTCTGAACCTCGGTTTCCTCATAAGAAGAAAAAACTTGTGATGATGATAATACCTATGGTGTGGCTGCTGTGAGGGGTCAGGGAGAACCCCCTTACAGTAAATTAATTAGTCCATGTGCTCACCAGCCAGGTAAAGGTTGGACCACTGAGCTACACCCCAGCCCCTCACTGGGGGATTCTAGGCAGGGGCTCTACCACTGAGCCACACCCCAACCCCTCACTGGGGGATTCTAGGCAGGGGCTCTACCACTGAGCCACACCCCCAGCCCCTCACTGGGTGATTCTAGGGAATCACTTTACTATTCATCCTCAACCTTAGTCATCTTTTTAACCTAAGTTTCCCAGCCTCTACTTAAACTCATGAGCTCAGACTTTGCTCCTCATGACTTACTCTTATCAAGGAAACAAAGTAGGTAGGTTTCCAACCGAAATCTTCAGAAAGCCCATGACCTGAAGTCTCAAGAGCTCACCTCCATTCTACACTGAAATCTCTGGAAAATCTACGGCCACACCACCCTCAAAGGCCCGACCTTACCTGTGATACTTGAGGAAGAGCTGATGGTACCCTTCCCCTCCCTCTTTCAACACATGTTGTTTCCCATCGTATTTCTGGGAGGATGATTACTTAGCCAACTCTATCTCTCTCCAGGCAGGATTTGGTGTGATGGACAGGTCTCTGCTGTTTGAGAATTCAGCCCTCTGAACAGTGGGTTAAGTAGGAAATGGGGGCATGAAGTATCCCCAGATACTAGGGAAAGAGTATACATTTGACCTCTGAGCTTCCTGGCAACCAATGAGCAATAATCAGTTCCATGGATTATCGTGTCCATGAGATTTAGAAAGTCTCCACAAAATCACCAGGTGGTGGTGACACACGTCTTTAATCCCGGCACTCGGCAGGCAAAGGCAGGTGGATCTCTGTGAGTTTGAGGCTAGCCTGGTCTACAGAGTGAATTCCAAGACAGGCAGCAAAAACAAACAAAAAGAAAGGAAGAAAGAAAGAAAAGACAGAAAACTAGAAAATGTCCACAAAATCCTAGCAGTGGTTTTTCCTGTGTGACTGTGTGCATTGCTCGTAAGAAGGCCATAATTATTACTGGGGCTGGAGAGATGGCTCAGTGTAAGAGCACTGGCTGCTCTCTTAGGAGTCCTGAGTTCAATTCCCAGTAACCACATGGCAGCTCACAACCATCTATAATAGGATCTGATGCCCTCTTCTGGCGAGCAGGCATATGTGCAGATAGAGCACTCATTCTTAAAAATATAAATAAATACAATTTAAAAAGAAGACAGTATTATCTACAATGAACTACTACCACCACTTACTGCCAATATTGCTCTTCAGAAAATTCATGATAAATACAATATTTTTTCTTATTGGCAAGTGAAAAAAATTTCTGCAGTTTGCTATGGGTCAGATAGCCAAGAAGTTTGACTTTAAGTTCTGGTACTTGAACCTGTTATGTGTTTTCTTTATTTTTAAAGATTTATTTATTTTACTATTTTGTGCACACGAATGTTTTGCCTGCTTCTTTGTTTGTGCACCGTGTATGTGCCTGATGCCCACTGAGGTCAGAAGAGGGCATTGGATCTGTGTGACTAGAGTTAGTGGGCCTCTGTGAGTCACCGTGTGGATGCTGGGAAGGGCAACGTGCTCTTAACTGCTGGGCTAACTCTCTAGTCTCTAAATCTGTTAAGATTTAGGTTAAGATCTTGGGGTCTCGGTTTTCAGTCTCAGCAAGAAAGCAAACCAATAAGAAGAAAACTATTACAAATAACCACCGATATCAAGAATTAAATCCACGGTCTGGAGAGATGGTTCAGCGGTTAAGAGCTCTTGATGTTCTTGCAGGGGTCCTGGGTTTGTTTCCTAACATCCATATATTGAATCATGCTATCCATAATTGGAGTTCCAGGAGCTGATGGCTTCTTCTGACCTCCGCAGGAACCGGACACACATGTGGTACACATATGTATAGCTAAAACATACGTGTATCAAAGGCGTGATGCACATAGTCATAGCACTCGGGAGGCAGAGGCAGGTGGATCTCTGTGAGTTCAAGGCCAGCCTGGTCTGCAGAATAGACACAGCTACATGATAGAGAAGCCATCCCTCAAAAAAAAAAAAAGAGAAATCTAATATTTTTTTAGATAGTGAAATCCAGTGAATGTTGAGAAATTTAGGGAGTTCAGGGAGATCTTTTCTGGGGTGACATTCGAATGACATGGTAAGGAGGGGTGACATGCATAACTATAAGGGAGAAATAGAATGAAATATTATCCCACCCCCAAAAGAAATGAAGTGTGCTATTCGAGTACTTGCTGAATTCAATCCTGGGCACCCATATAAAAGGCAGGCAAGACTGAGAGCACCGGCAATACTACCACTGGGGAGCAGAGAGACACAGCTTCAGGGAGCAGCCTAGCAGTAATGATGAACTTTCAGTCTCGGGAGAGACAGCTCAAGGAAATCAGGCAGACAGTGATAAGGCAGACACCAGACACGTTCCTCTGGCCTCTACATTTTTGTGGGCACAAGCATCCACACCATGCATGCATACAATACAAAACACACATGAAGGAATGATATTACTAATTTATATTTTATCATGAATCTAGAATTATATATTTCAAATTATATACTTTAGTAGTATAACAAATAGTGCTTTTAAAAGATACATTTCTTTTTATTTTATGTGTATGAGTGTTTTCCTTGCACCATGTGACTGTATGCCCTCAACGGCCAGAAGAGGGCAGAAGAGGACATCAGATTCCCTGGAATTGACGTTGCATACAGATGGTTGTAAGCCCAGGTCTTCTGAGCCCAGCAGCACTGGCTGCTCTTGAAGACTGAGCCATCTCTCCATCCTCTCCATATATAATCAAGCTTGAACTTTAAACCCTGCTTCCATTCCATGACCGCCCCCTCCACCCACCTCTGCCACTGATAGTCATGTGCTATCATACCTGGTTTTATGTGGTGCTGGGGACGGAATGCAGTACTTCAAGGCTGCTTATCAAGAGCGCTATCAAACTGATATCAGCCCTGAAGTTATTATTTCTGTACCATTGCTTTCTTTATTGTTATTTTTTTTCATTCCTGTAAATTCTGTTCATTGCTTGGGTCTGAGAGACCAACATTAGGTATCGCCCCAGGAGGGAGTTTTATTTTTAATTTATGTTTTAAGTTGTTATTGTTTATGTGTGCGAGTGTGTGTGTGTGTGTGTATGTGTATGTGTGTGTGTGTGTGTGTGTGTGTGTGTGTGTGAGAGAGAGAGAGAGAGAGAGAGAGGTGTTTGTGGGTTCCCAAAGAAGCCAGAAGAAGGCGTCCGATCCCTGGGAGCTGGAAGTGAAGACAGTTGTGATCCCCCTGATGTGGGTGCTGAGAACTGAATTCAATTCTCCAGTCCTCTAGGAGAGCAGCAAGTGCCCTTAACTACGGAACCATGCTGGTATTACCAGTCTTTGCCACAGCACCAGCTAAGGATTCAATATTGAGTAATGACTGTGATTAGCAGCCTGAAAATTTACTGATCAGGGAGGGACCTGCTTTCCACCCGTTGAGTCCTGTATTCAGTCAGAGCCCAGGTGTGAAAGAAAAAGGAAAACAAATCTGAAGGCACCAGTCTGGGCTCCGCGTTATAGTTTGAATTTATAGAGATTCCATGCGAAGCCAGGGGTGATAGCTCACGACTTTAAACCCAGAAGTCCGGTGAGTGAGACAGGAGGATTGCTGCAAGTTTGGAGTAACTCGAATACAGAGGGACGCTGTCTCACTAAAAAAAAAAAAAAAAAAAAAAAAAAAAGGGGGAAAAAAGATTTCGTTCAGTTCTAATGTAAATAGAAGCAGCGAGTTAAGCCCTTCCCTTCCTAGAAATTTGAACAGATCCAGATTCCGCCCTCCTCTGACTGGGGTATTGTCATGACAACCGCGTCCGGCGTCCTGTTCCGGACCACGCCTAGCGGTCCTTCGGCGCTTCTATTGGTCAAAAGTTCGTCGTGAGCGGCGCCTTTTCACGTTCATTGGTCAACTGGTAACAATGATGCAAGACCACATTCTCCCATTGGCTGACTGCTAATAGAGGGCGGAGCCTCTAGAAGACAGTTTCTGCGGGCTTTCTGGAGCTCAACACAGCACTCTGCAAAAGAGGATCTACCTCCGGATATTTGGAAGGATAAAGGTGAGGGGACCAACCTGAAGGTGAAGGGGCAAGAAGCGAGGGGCAGTGATAAAGGGATGGGGTGGACAAATGAGTTCCCAGGATCCCTGTGCCGCAGGGCGATGACCACACCTGCGGGCTCCGGCGCCGGCTTCGGCTCTGTGTCCTGGTGGGGTCTGTCCCCAGCGCTGGATCTACAGGCTGAAAGTGAGTCTCTCTACCTCAGGACCACATGCGGTCTTAGACAGAAGTGCCTTTCCAACCCCCACGTGTGCATCCCTCATAGCAGTTGTGTTCATTGCAGGGGATGTGTGTGTGTGTGTGTGTGTGTGTGTGTGTGTGTGTGTGTGTGTCTATGCGCGCGCGCGTGCGTGCGTGTGCGTATACGTTCCTTAAATTAAATGGCTTTGGGAGAGGAGCACCCCCACAATCTTCTTTGATGATATCGAATGCCATAATGCAGAGGTACAACTGCCTTTGGAACCCAGGCTGGAGTACCAAGCTTGCTGGATTCGTAGCTTCTAAAGGCAGCTGCAGGAATGAAGATTAGGAAGCTGGCCCCTGCCCGCTATTGTCTTGCCAGGTCCTCCCGTGGACCCAGAGTCACAGGCAGCGACAGAGCACAAGATCCCGGAGTTGGATGCC